GCCTTCAAATTTAGTTATAGACTTTATGGTCTAGTCCACAGTGGTGACATTATTTCTGTAATTCCAGTTATCCTTTCAACATTGAATAACAATATTAGTGTCTATGGTCTGCATAAAGTAGTGCAATGGACTCATGAGTCATGACACCCCCCTATATAGGATGTGGCCGCCCCCCAACTTTTTTTCAAGAAGTCGGTTGGCGAGGCCCCCAACTCTTTTCCTAGAAGTCGATTATCAACAGACTACGCCATTATCGTCGCTGAATAATTCTTAAATCTAATAGTCTAACCCAAGAATCTCTATATGAAACATTGAAAACCAAGTTTTTCTTAGTAGGATAACATTTCACCAATGGTTTCATTTTAATAAGGCCAGCGGCCCAAGCCTGAACATGCTTGCCAACTAAAAATAATGGGCCTAAGAATCAACAAGTCTTTTCCTCTTTTTATTTATTTATTTATTTTTTTCATGATTCCTCCTTATCTGATCAATTAGGCCCTTTGGCATGTGCTTTGTTTTAGGCGTTTTGTTTTTAGTTAAAATAGAAATAGTGTTTTTGTTTGTTGTAAGAGTGTTTTGGAAAAAAATTGAAAGCACGTTTGGGAACGATATTTTGTTGTGGAAATATCGGAAACAGAAATATGCACAGTTATGGTTTTGGATCATGAATAGTTGTCAAAACGAGAAAAAACATCTTTTTGATGTTTTGGTTTTGGGTCATTGTTGACGAAGTATTTTAGCACTGTGTAAAATAAAATAAGACAGCACCAAATATACTTTTGTTGCCAAAATTGACACTGTAACAGTTCAAAAAAAAAACAGCACAAACAAAACGCATGTCAAAAAGGGCTTATAGTTTTGTTTTACGTTTGGTCTTTGATTAGGTGTTATTGATATACTCGTACTTCATTACAACAACTATGAAAGACTCTTTTAGAACGTAGGTATTAGAGTATCTAATAAAATTGAAATTAATCACTGCATAACTTCAAAATTGGATTATAGTACTTAAATTGAATTTGTAGAATAAAAATCTAATGTTAAACTAATGAATTAAAATAATTTGAAATTACCACTCACTTGTACGAAACCAAGCCCAGCCCTAACACTTTGCCCCCGATCGGCCCAGTTTTCAATATGCTCGATAGAACCAAGCTTAGCCCAGATTGGCCCAATTCTCAATATGGTCCATAAACGTGTAAGCTATAACCATAAGCGCTGGTATAGTACGATCCGGCGCACTTTAAATGGACCGTGCAGCATAATACATTGAGATTTTGAGAATGCACCATCATAAAAAGGGCATTATTCAATAACCTAATTTGTAGAATGCTTAGCTTTTTGAGACAGCGTTTTTAAAATTAGAAAAAATAATAATAATAATTAATAATAAGGGTTGGATATTTAAGTTGTGATAATTTTTTTCCTTTTCAACTTCCTCTGTTTACATTTTAATTTATTGTGTGTTAACAATTAAGGAAATTAATTTTCTAATAATCTATTTGTAATTTATTAAAATTTGCAATAAGTTTCTACATCTCTTCATGTTTAGGAATAATTAAATTTGAAACTAACTCAATATTGCCTTAAATTTTCAACGTGAAAATTGGTCATATAGGTAAACCCGAATTAGCCAACATTCTAATCCGAAATCTCAACTCTAGTTGCACATGTGTTTAAAAATATAAGGATGGCTTGTGTTTGTGTTTAGTAATTAAGGTTGAAGGTCCAATTAAAGTTGAACACTTTATATATCGAGTTGTGCTCGAACTCCTCGCAACCCTCTCGAATTGAAACCTATGTTTATTAAAACGTTTGAATGTGTCAAATTTTGAAATGTATTTATAGTGTAAAATGTAATTTTTTTAAAAAAAAATTCTCAAGTACTTTTTAACAAGTTTTAAATATTTTAAATATATATTTTTCAAGTATAATATCATATTCTAATTATTAAGGTTTTTTATTTTTTATTTTTTTTAATTTTTTTTTATAATATCTTTAAAAAGAAGTATAGAGGTATATTGAATGTGTATTATGACTAAGTTAGTAAAAATAAAATGTATTTATATATATATATATATATATATATATATATATATATATATATATATATATATTGAAGCTGGTGCTAAGAAAATGTTATTAACAATACACACACACACATATAGATACATATATAACATGGAGCCAACAAGACACTTATTATTGGATGGATGAAGTATTATTTTAAATTGTATTCTTATATATATAGCACGAAAACTATTACTATTTCAAATTATATTCTTATGTCTATTAATATAGGGTTAAGTACAAAAAACTCCCTTTTACTATCGATATAGTGCATATCAGTCCCTGTGTGGTAAAAAAAAACCCCTATACTATCAATTTGGTGCGATTGGGTCCCTGGTGGTGTAAAATGACGATAATACCCTCACTTCAGTTTAATAAATTAATGATTATAATACAAGCCATGTAAAATGACCTTTTTGTCCAAAATTGTATAAAATGGGGTTTGTTTGACAGAAGGATAATATAAACTTCAAATTGTATAAAATAGGAATACCCTAAACCTGAATATAATTAAATCTAAAACCAAACATGCCCTTAAACTTCTCTCTCCACAACTTCCCCGACCATCTCTCTTCATCTTCTCCGGTCACCGGAGCCTTTTCTGCTGACTTCACATATACATATGTGTGTGTTTTTATAAAGAGTTCTTAAAATATCTTATTCTCTCTCCATCATCAGCTTGTTGATCAAAACTCTCTCTATAATTACCGCTAATATTAGCTACGATCACTTGATTCTCTAATTTCTAATCCTTTTTCGATTTTCGAATTTTCTAATTGGATTGATTGTCTGCTCTAATCGGTTTGTTTGAATTTTGTTCTTAGTTTAATGCGATGAATGATGTTCGATTTTAATAGAAACTACTTTGAAGCTCAAAATTGAAACTCTCTCTCTCTCTATATATATATATATACACACATGTGAACGATAGTCATGTTAGATCTTAATCTCGGTGTTGATGACAATGGGGTTTCAATCATGATGGTGGAGAAGTTTGTGTTGACGGTTCTGGAGGAGGTCAGATGGACGAATCAGGCGCTTTGAATTTGTCTATCATGAATGCCGAAGCTTCAAGCAATGCCGGCGACGACGACACTTGCCAACGGCGGTGATAAGTTCACCTTCAATTTCGGTATATTGAAGGTCGATGACGACTTTAGTAACGTTAATTTTGACTCTCTGATGATGGTCGATGGCGATTTCCATCGCCCGCTGTTCCAGTTCAGGTTCGCCGTTCGTAAGCTTCAGCCGCTGTTCCAGTTTGGGTTCGTCGTTTTTTTTTATTCTGGTCAAGCTTCTTTTAAGATTCTGGTTAAGCTTCTTTTAATTTCCCTCAAATATATGTTGCAGGTGATGAGAAGTACTGAAGCATTTGTTGCCCTTAAATAAATCACACCGGAGTTGTTCAGTTTTTGAATCAAGCTTGCTGGAACTATTGATTCAGAATGAAACTCGTCAGACTTGTTCATGCAGCTTGTCGGAAAGATACAAGGTGGAGCTCGTTGGTTCTTGTCGGTTTTTTCTCATTGAAGTTTCTGGGTTTATCAAGCTTAAAATATGTCAGCTTTTAATCGCCGGCATCATGGTCGCCTGAGTTGCCTCTTATTGCTTTTCACACTTTTTATTGATTTATCAATTTCCTTCCAAGAGAGCACTACATGGTGACCTGTTATTTGGGAAATAACTTTGATAGTGCACGCTTGAAAAGTCTTGCAATACTCCTTCGCTGCACAGATTCCGTCCAAACACCGTCGCCGCATATTGCGCCCATGATCGTCGACGTCGCATAAGATTGTCGCCACTACAAATCGTCGCGGTTGGGTCTGTTGAAAGCTCACCGGAACAGTTTTTCATGGCTCCCTACTCAATTACGGCACACAAAACTAGATCCCGTCAAAACAAGAACACATTGGAACTGAAGATTGTTGATACTCTCAGTTGAATTACCACTAACAAGTGAAACTTGTAGCCTCTATTTGTTTCACCACGGACAACACTCAGTCTTTTATGTAGTTCATTGGAGTTGATCGCTGAAACTATTATGAACTCTCACTGGACTGAAACCCACAACTCTCAATTTGAACCCCAATCTTACCCATGTCAACATGGCACAACATTGGTCCAATTATGGGTTCTGTATCTCCCTTGTGATTCTCAGACATTCCAATTTGCCAGGTTGTTATGCTTCTCCTCTCATTCTTACTTAGTAAGGCATGAGAGTTGGACAAATCAAACTTCCAGACACGTACAGCATGTAACATAAGATACAAATGCATGCCATAACAAATCGTACCAGATAAATGAAGTAAAAAATTGAAACTAAGAAATCCATTTGCCCACCACAGTGACACTTTCTTTTTGATCTTACGGAGGGTCTTTTCTGCACAAATTGTGAGGGGCAAAATGGGAAACAAAAGGTTAAAATGGGGTTTTAAGTTTTACTTTTTGCATAAAGTTGTCAGAGGGACCGGTTACGTACCTTTTTTGAATTTTATGGACTTACATGCACTTTTTTAAAAAGTAGGGACTTGTTCAACACAAAGTTTATATATCAGGAGGTTTTTTGCACTTAACCCATTAATATATATATATATAATGTTTATGAGCATTTATGTTTCAAATATTAACATGTTATATTTTAAATAAATTGATTTCCGCTGATGTTATTGCTAATTGAAAAATATTTATCCCAAATAAAGTATGTATTTAATTGATATTATAAAATTTGGAGTCAACTAAATTTTTTCTCATTGGATCCTAAATTTAGTACCTAAACATTTAAATTTTTCCTCCTATGCGAACTTGACGATGTTTTACGGTTTTCAGGATAAAAATGTAACCGTCAAAAGTGCGGTTCGAATGGGAAGCCTAATGTCAGATGAGATGATTAAGGTCAATTCCGGAACATAAGTAGATGTTAGCCCAATTCCAACGCTAACTCTCTCTCTCTCTATCTATCTTAGTTGTTTTCCAATAAAACCAGACTCTCTCTCTCTTCTCTCTCTCTCTCTCTCTCTCTCTCTATATATATATATCTATCTACCTCCTTCAAATTCACCATAAACAACCAGACTGTTGACAGATAGATAGCGACTGAATCAAGCACAGACATGGCGGACACACTCGCTGCTGTGAGATCTTTAATGTCTTCTCACTCTCCACCTCTCCATGCCTTAGTCGTTCCCACCTCAGATGCTCATCAGGTCCTATCTTCTCATCTCTCTATATATATGCATCCTTAATAAATTTTGTTATTGCATTTGTTATGCTGATACTTAATTAATCAATCACTGATTCACTGCTTTGGTCCCTTTTAATAAATTACTGTTACATATGTATGTGCGTGTATTACTTTGATCACAATTTTTTTTTTGATTATTTATTCTTTAAGTTTATTTCTTGCGATTTTTAACTGATCATATATATATATATATATTGTTGGATTTCGTTGCAGACTGAGTATATATCTGCGACGGATATATATGTATATATATATCTATAAATATGCACTCTTATATTAATTTTGTTGTTGCATTAGATATGCTGATACTTAATCAATCAATCACTGCTTTGGTCCCCTTTTAATTGTATTTCCAGTTTGATTTTTCATTTTATATATGTGTATTACTTTGATTTGATCACTATTTTTTTTTTTTTTTTTCTTTAAGCTTCTTTCTTGGGATTTTAACTGATCTTATATATATATTTTGTTGGATTTCATTGCAGAGTGAGTATGTAGCTGATAGGGATAAAAGGCGCGAATTCATTAGTAAATTCACCGGAAGTGCGGGTTAGTTCAATCTCATTTGATACTATTTGTACCATTTACGGGTGACATTTGTGTAAAAAGAGCATGTTTTTTATCATTTTTTTTTTCTTTCCAAAAACCCGGAAAATCCTTATTAAAACTTTTGTAAGGCCGAAAGGGTCCTCATTACATGCATGAGACACATACCAACATACATTGTGATGCCTTGCTGTCTTTAGAGCCTAGTGTCACGGGCCTAGAGATTTGGCGCAGCGGCACGGCTCGTGCGGCACCAAGGCGTTGCTTCAGCTCGCTCAAGCGCCCTGATCAGCCACCACGACCTGCCCTTCCAATAATACATGCTGACTGGTTTCGGTCTGCCTTGGCCTCGTCAGGGGAACGGCTCCAGCTCCCGACCAGTTTGTGCAGGGATGGCCAACTCCCTTCTTCATAGTCAAGTCCACGACCAGCGACAAGCTCCTCGCACTCAACCGGGTCGACCTGCCTGAACTCTGAAGAGGTACCATCCTGTACTCCTGCACGCTCCTTCCCTGGAACCACTCCCAGTCAAACTCTGCTCTTTGCTAACCAGCATGCGTGTCTTTCATCCTCCAAGCGTCTTAGGAATCACTTTGTGACACTCTCCCCCACCCAAATCTTGCGACGCCCTTGTCGCAGTGCGGCGCTTCACTACTGCGTCGACTCCTTTCCAAAGTCTGCCTCCAAGCGGTATGCTCGCATTCCCACCATCGCTTCCTTGTGCAACTCCCTGCACTGCACTCGCCCAATAATAGTCCTCGGACCAAGGGGACGTCCACTCCTCAAGGACGCGACTCTTCTCTGTCATGCCGCCTCCGCGACATCCCGAGCAAGTAAGGGCCTCCTGCCGACTTGATGCTCGCCCTTCACCACGATTAGCATCACCCAAGGACTAAGCACGAACTTTGGTGCGCGCGGCCCTCCGGCCCTCCAGCACGCAACTTCAACGGACGCCTCTTCCTGGGAGATGAAGGCTCTCCCCTCAACTGCATTGATTCCTCCTCATCGACGCAACTTCAGTGCACCGTCTTCATTCTCTGACCCCTCCCGGACTGACAAGGGGGCACCCCACCGTGCTTTACCCCAAGTCCTGCTTTGATAACATTTGTCACGCCTAGAGATTTGGCGCAGCGGCACGGCCCGTGCGGCACTAAGGCGTTGCTTCAGCTCGCGCAAGCGCCCTGATCAGCCACCACGACCTGCCCTCCCAAGGATACATGCTGACTGGTTTCGGCTTGCCTTGGCCTCGTCAGGGGAACGGCTCCAGCTCCCGACCAGTTTGTGCAGGGATGGCCAACTCCCTTCTTCATAGTCAAGTCCACGACCAGCGACAAGCTCTTCGCACTCAACCGAGTCGACCTGCCTGAACTCTGAAGAGGTACCATCCTGTGCTCCTGCACGCCCCTTCCCTAGAACCATTCCCAGTCAAACTCTACTCTTTGCCAACCAGCATGCGTGTCTTCCATCCTCCAAGCGTCTTAGGAATCACTTCGTGACACTATTCTGTCATGATATGGTTTTGTGACACTTTCATGCCTTCTGGTTGATCTTTAATCTATTTAATTTTAGTTCTCCGTGGCATTGCCAACTCATTTGTGAGTTGAGACTAATTTGTACGAATATGTGCATGCAATCCTCATCAAACCATGTGCATAGTTTTAGTCTAGGACCTGACCATATGATCTCAATAGACTCCATAGTTTATCTTGTTTGGATGAGAGTCATATGAAGATGGGTGGACCCTCTTACGCCGTGTCTAGTAAGCATGATGGGAAAATGGGATGAAGGACTGATTTGGATTCTGAAAGATGATAACATGAACAATCACTAAATTGCATGTATCCACAAAAAATCATCTCCATATAACTTATGTGGTTATGCAACATTACGTATAATTATAACTTGTACAATGTTAGAGATATTTCTTATGAGAATTTAACTTATGTAGTTACGCAACATGATCCACTCCATGGCTTGTACAATCTTTCTTTTTTTCTTTTTTCTTTTTTTTTTTTTTTCATAATTAGCTTGTACAATCTTAGATATCTTTCTTTTTGGAAACTCACAAAAAATAATTTCTTTCAAAGCTTAAATATTTATTTATCAACTTATAAGTGGACTTGACTAAAGCAGTCCATATATCTCTTTGGTTGTAATCAACAATGTATCTACAGAAAGGATTCAATTAGCATTGATTTGATTAGGAGTGGAGAGGAGGTAGAGGATACAGATGATGCACAACAATGTATGAAAACCCAATATGGCCATTAATTTGATGAACCTTGTTTAGATGGCTCGACATATATTATAATTGTGCTCATACAGAAAGGATTCAATTAGCATATTATAAATGTATGTGATTAAGTAACCAATTATACCAACTGACAAGATGGACAAGCCACACATATTTCTCTGTGAGAAAACAGAACAAGTATCAATGTGTCTCTTTCTTCCTCACCAACGCTGAAAAAACTAATACTTGAACACATTTATGGATAAATACTTAAAGCACCACTAACAACTTTATGTAAAATTCCAATGATTAAAATAATTTATTAACCCATTAGCAATACTGTAAATACTAAAAAGGATTGCAACAAATTCAGATCAATTCACATGATATGGCAAAAGCATTAGACTGTGATTTGTAAAAGTTTTAAGATGGACACATTCAACTGCTGAGCATATGCCAATAATACATAATTGACATTCTTCTGCTTGCAGAAATTATACTGAAATCTATGTTTCTTAGTGAACCTTGGTGACTGGTGTTCGTTGTTGAATTAGCTTTTCTTCTTTTAAGAAATGCAGAAAACACAAAATTGTCTTGTGCAGCTTGATACCCTGAAATCTTTTTCCTTTACCCTTTGACATTCATTATAAAATCCAAGAACATAAGAATGATAAGAGTCAAATAATGAGGATCAAAATATGGTAACGGTTATAAAATATTTATCATTTACCTTCCTGCTAGATAAACATGAATTTGTTTCTAGTTTCCTTCTGCTCCCATCTAGTCACTCTGGCAATCATGCAAACACCAATGTTTAGTGGGACAGAGTTAATTTCTTTGACTCATTCATTGATTTGTGATAAACCAGTAATGGTGGGGAGCAGCATTTTCACTTTTGTGGAATTAGGGACTACGTTTTTTTTGTTAAAAGTAGGTCAATAGATCAATTGAAGTGACATGGAGGGGAGGAGAGAGAAGGAACAAATGAGGACTAACCTAACTACAACAGAGATGGAAATAGCAAAAAGATGAAGACCATGCTAATTGGAATGGAATTGGGGTAGAAATGATGTCTAGGCACATCGGGGTTGTTGTAAGATTAAGGGTGAACAATTTTTGCTCTAGGCTAACATGATTTGAACATGTTAGCGGATATGATAGCCATGATTTATGGAATGACTTACCATATTAGCAGAGATTTGATAGCCCTGAATCGTGGCATAGAATATGTTGTGATTTGATTTAATTTCCTTTCTTATAATATAAGCATGTGCTCTTTTTATCTATAAATACTACAACTGTGAATGAGCGATTTTTATATCATTCAAGCCTTTACACAATTCTATTTATTTTCTTCTATATTATATTTCTACTTGGTATCAGAGCCAAGGTGGTCCGACTGCAATGAGGGCATTGTGAGTTCGGTACCATCCATTCGGGAATGGTTTAATGACCATCCGGGAGGTTTCGAGTAGGCAGGGTGGTCCGACCTCAATGAGGGCGTTGCGAGTTTGGCACACCACCCATTCAGAAATAGTCTGAGGAGACATAGTTATTTCTTTTTTATGGTCCGAGGAGACATTGTTGATGGTCTGAGGAGATATTGTTGATTCTTTCTTCTACATTATTTAAACATATGTATGAAGGGGAATGGTCTGAGGAGACATTGTTGATTCTTCCATCTATATGCTTTAAACATATGAAGGGAAATGGTCTGAGGAGACATTGTTGGTAGTTTACGGTCTGAGGAGACATTGTTGGTAGTTTACGGTCTGAGGAGACATTGTTGGTTCTTTACAGTTTAAGTAGACATGATTGGTTGTTTATGGTCTGAGGAGACAATTTTGATTTGTTGATCGACACTTCATTTGAGAAAAAATCATCCCTAGTTAGATTTGCACTTTGCAACTTGTAGATTCTAAAGAAGGGTGCTAGCAAAACCGTGTTTAAAGATGCATTGTCCAAGTAGAGCATCTCAGATATCCACGCACCAACTTGAAGGAGAGTGTTAGCATGATAGCCACGATTTATGGAATGACTTACCATATTAGCAAATATTTGATTATGCTATAGAATATGCCATAGAATATGTTGTGATTTGATTTAGATTTGATTTAATTTCCTTTCTTGTAATATGAGCATGTTGTCACGGGCTTAGAGTTTCAGCACCACTCTAGCTGTTCCCGTGCGGCACCAAGACGTTGCTTCCACTCCCGCAAGTACTTGGTCAGCCTAATTCCCGTGCGCACCTTAGCCAACACACTCCCCTCGTGCGCTTACTAGTGTTGTAGTTGCACTCGCCCTCTCCTCACTTGGCTTGCACACTCACACACACTAAGGCACTTAAGTTGGCAAGGAAAGAACACTTCTATTACTTCAAAGAATGCTTTGTACAAGGCTAACACTCAAGCTCTCTACAAGGCTCTCAAGACTCACTCTAGGACTTGTTGCCTACAAAATGAAGTCCTACCTCTATTTATAGGCATCCCCATCCCTAATGGATGGCTAGGATGCATTCTAACCAACGGTGGAGATCGATTTTCTAGAATCTTCTCCCACCTTCTTCACACTTCCATACTTATCTACTAGTATCTACAACATTCTAGAATTCTCCATACTACTCCACACAATTCTGGAGAATTCTAGAACCTTCCACACACTTCTATAATGTTCTTCACATTTCTACACATATCTAGAATCTTCCACACAACTCTAGACTATTCTGAAAGATTCTAGAAACTCCCATGCCATGTAGTCGCCATGCAGCGTCCTCCTCAGCGTCTGCGTGTCGCCTGCGTGGCACAACCTCCATAGGTGGGGCGTGACAATGTGCTCTTTTTATCTATAAATAGTAAAGCTGTGAATGAGTGATTTATCTCATTCAAACCTTTACACAATTCGCTTCATTTTCTTCTATATTATATTTTTACTTGGTATCAGAGCCAGGGTGGTCTGGGCATTGCGAGTTCGGCACCACCCATTCAAAAATGGTCTGAGGAGACATAGTTGTTTCTTTTTTATGGTCTAAGGAGACATTGTTGATTCTTTCATCTACATTGTTTAAACATGTGTATGAAGGGGAATGGTCTAAGGAGTCATTGTTGATTCTTCCATCTACATGTTTTAACCATGTGGGGGAAATGGTCTGAGGAGACATTGTTGGTTGTTTATGGTCTGAGGAGACATGATTGGTTGTTTATGGTATGAGGAAACATGATTGGTTGTTTATGGTCTGAGGAGACATTGTTAATTGTTTATGATCTGAGGAGACATTTTTGATTTGTTGATCGGCATTTCATTTGAGAGAAAATCATCCATAGTCAGATTTGCACTCTGCAACTTGTAGATTTTGAAGAAGGGTGCTAGTATGACCGTGTTTGAAGATGCATTATCCAAGTTGGGCGTCTCAGATATCCATGCACCAACTTGAGGGGACGACAGAACATAAGTGGGTTTGGACTTCATTTTTTTTGTTAAAGGTAGGTCAATAGATTAATTGTAGTGACATGGAGGGGGAAGAGAGAAGGATCAAATGAGGACTAAACTAACTACAACAAAGATGGAAATAGCAAAAAGATGAAGACCATGCTAATTGGAATGGAATTGGAGTTGAAATAATGTCCAGGCACTAGGGTTGTTGTAAGATTAAGGGTGAATAATTTATGTGACAGCTAACACGATTTGAACACGACACAACATAAGTGGGTTTGGGTTTGGCTTAATCGTGTTTGGGTCATAATTATGTAGACTTGAATTGACACGCTAATTAATCGTGTTGTATTCATCTTTTACCTGCCAACTCATTTAACTAAACATGTCGACTCAACACAGATATGACCCAAACCTGTTTACTACCCATTTCAACGTGTTTAAATTGTAATATCCTAAGAATATTTGAGCAGATTTGTCAATATGTATCTTGTTTTTTCTTGTTGTGTAGTGTCAGGTCTTGATTCATTTATTAAACATATAGCATTGGTAGTCAAGTCGTGTTCGTGTCGACCCATATAACATGATATCCATGTTATGACATGACAAGAATATGACTTGGAAATACGAATTGCCACCACTATAATCAAGGTGATGATGCATCATAATGGGAAAGGGAATAGAGAGATATGATGGAGGTTGAGATGAGCAACAATTGATTGATATGATAAGAGATCTGTCAAGGGGTGGAATATTGTGTGGTTGTGAGATGATGTCCTATCTCACCGCGATGATGGTTTCCTGGTTTTGGGTTTTACATGACGTGCCAATAATAATGCCCTTATTTTGGGTTTGATAGAAACCAAAGGGTGAAATAAGATAATGTAGAGAATGGGTTAAGATGAGTCTTGTTGGTGAAGATAGTTAATTGATATGATAAGAGGAGATCTGCCAAGGGTTGATTATGTTCGGTGGTGGTGAGATGCGTATCATGATGTCCCGGTGATATTGTCCTGATTTTTTCTTTGGCTTGTTGATTTTATCTGGTTGTGGTGAGATTATGTCCTGATGTTGATGTCTTGGTTTTGGGTTTGACATGAGGTGGCTGTAGTAATGGCCTTGTTTCAGGTTTGATAAATACCAGAGTGAGAAATAGGATGATACAGAGAAAAGTAGTGTGTATTGGTATGTTGGTTAACCCTAATTCATGGTGAATGCTGAGCATTTTAAATTTTTGTGAGAACGACCATTTTAAGAGAATGGTATTTCGACTTTATTTTGATCCATGTTAAATGGACTCTAGTATGCCTATCAGGTGCAGGCGTGTATTCAAATGTCGGATGCGTCAAATATTATATATAAGGACATATGGACACTGCTAATATTCATATAATTTAATATTTGTGTTTTATTTTGTAAAGTGAAGTAATGTTTTTTATGTAACATAGTGTATTGTTGGATGAATGGTTGTGTTTTTAGGTACGTGTCCATCCAAAAATGTCGGACATATATTCCATACCGATGTTCGAATATTGTATGTATGATATGAGTACTTCACCTACTTTTGAAGAGTCCATGATTTTGATTACTAGACAGTGAAAAGGGAATGAAAAGCTGAAATGAGGATTCCATTCCCATTCTAATGTACTAAATAATGTAGCCTTACATATTTTAGTACTACACTCTTTATTTTCTTTTCCCTGTGGCGTTTCTTCCATTGCTCAAAGATGCATAGTGTAATGGACACGGGACGGAATTGGCTGTAATGCAACGAAATCGGTTGCCACTGTTGTAAAATTTTTAACCGCACAAGTAAGGCCCAAAATGTAAAACAACTTTTAGAAAGAATCCAATAGACCTGTATTTTTAATGAATTTCAATGATTTTTATTAAGTTTTTTAAAGATCATTTAATACAAGTGACGGTTTATCATGGAATTTAAGTTGTCGTTAGTATTAAGGCTTATTAGTAATTTATGTCTTTCTCTAAATTAATAGTCAAAAGAGGCTATAACATAAAATAAATGAAAATTTATAACATAAAACACACAAATAATCAAACTACACTTGCATGTTAAATCTAAGTTAAAAGAAAAAGGAACCTAAAAAATTAGCTGGTTGAAGGTTTGGGAGTGGTTTGACAGAAGGTTTAGGCCGAGATCTTAATTTATTTTTATGTTGATTCACGTATTTAGGATTTGAAATGAATTTAAAGGTGAAAGAGGACTAGAGACCGAGAGACCGAGAAAAATGGGCAGAATTAACCTTGTTGAAAGGGTTGACTCAGCTGTTGCTATGCAGATTACGAGACCCTCTGAGACTTGTCTGAGGCTTTCTGAGTCGTCCCCAATTCCATTGGAGTTCCTTGTAATCTATTTTCATAGTGATATATTGGGCTGTAACTGGATCAACTTTGGCCGAGTCCGTTGCAACTTGGCGGAGTTGCTCCGTAATGGCTGATACTTCAGTCCTGCGCATGTGGTACTCTTCCTAGATATTGTTATCATCATAATCAATGCCACAGTTGTCTGTTTGTCGTGCAGTTTTTTCTTTCCTATGTTGGCACGTTACTAAAATTTTTTTTTTTTTTTGATAAGTAACACGTTACTAAAATTATTATTGAGACTCTTCATTGATCTGCTTTTGTTTTGTATGTATAGAACTTCCAAAACTTATAATACCTGTTATCTAAATTGCATTTAGGTTTGGCACTTATAACAATGAGGGAAGCACTATTGTGGACCGATGGCCGGTACTTCGTGCAAGCAACACAGGAACTAAGTGACCCATGGAAGCTCATGCGTGTAGGAGAAGACCCCAATGTTGATACCTGGATGGCAGATGTGAGTCACATTCTTTTGGCTGGGCACAAACATATATATTCTCAATTTTGACACTTCAATTTTTTGTTTTGACTGTTGTTCTGATATTCATTATTATCATCATGTTTTTAGTGCCTCAACTTGTTAGTTGGGCCAAATCAATGTTCTTCTCCTACTCCCACTTATTTGAAGTTGGTCTTCAACTAAAGCATGAAAAAGCCTCCCTCACAGAGTTCTTTTTTATTACTTGAACTTATTCAGCCTTTCTAACGTCTTTAAGCTGTGCAGGAACTCTTGTTTGTAGTTTTGGTTTGTAATACTTATCCAAAACAAGCTCATGTTTTTCTGGCTTTCTGCCATAATATTTTTTTTCACTAGTAAAATGTTGGGGCTTGTTTTCCAAATTTTGAGTATGTAGTAGTTCTTTATCATCATGTGCTTTCATTCACATCACTCTTCATCTGTGGTTGAATCCACCAGTTGAACATGTTCTCTATTGTTAGTTTTATACGTATTAAAAATTTTCACTCTGAATTGTTTAATTATTTCTTTCTTTTCTTTTTTTTTTTTTAATTTTAATCCGGTTATGTTATAAATTTGACTTTTGTTGCCTTCCAGAAGCGCATTCAACAAAGCCAAGTGGCTCAAATTTAGGCAGTGCATTTATCTGTCCCTTTCTTTAGTTCATTGGTTCCTTTTGGTTAGGCTACCTGTTAGCTAGCAATCCTTTTTCCTTTCTCCAGGTTCTTCAAGATCTTCTGCGAAGAACACATTGCCTTTTGATAACAAAGAACCTTAAAACCACATCAACTTCCAAATTTTTTGAGACATTTATTATGATCAAACTAATTTTTCAGACCTAAAATTAAGCAAATATCTGCTAGAAGAAAGTTCCACATGCTCTGTTGCTTTATGCACTCGATGATTAGCATAACGGATCACTATTACGAATATCCATTTTTCTCTCCATTTGAAATGGCCACCCATTACAGTACCCTATTCTATTACCAATTCTTATAATTAACATATATATCTGCATCCCCACCAATAATGCAGTGCATGCGTCTCCTTGTTGATGTGTGTTTCATTTTTTATTGTTTTGATTTATGCTCACTTATGCTATAAAGAGTAAACTTAATAACATTGACTCTTTCCCTGAATGTTTCAACTGTCAAAAAATACTCACATCGTTTATGTTGAAGCAATCACCCTTTATCAACATTTCTCCCGAAATGTGCTATTAATAATGCGTTTAACGTCATTTTTGTTGGTTTAACATGGATCCTTTTCCAAGGTTCCTATTATAATTTAGTTTTCTAATTAGCATTTTGTTGGATTAATAAGAGGTCTTATAGTTATTTATTTATTTATTGAATTCTTCACCACACATCCTGTTTCAGGCTCTGTGCCATGCCTTTTGTCTTGTTTATTAGAATGTAGGCTGGACAGTCACAGAAACTGTGTTATATTGACTCTTCAAAAGTAGGTCAAGAACCCATGTCATACTCACAATATTTGGGCATGAGTATGGACGATGTATTCAATGTTTTTGGTTGAACATGCACCTAAAACACATCCAATAATTCGATTTTGTTCTATGATTGTTTCAAAATGACTAAAATGCCTCTATTGAACACTATTTTACTTGAAGATATTATTTTACTACAGAAAATATCTTTTGCATATAAAGTTATTATTTTGCTATAGAAAGAAAAAGATTAAATAATATAACTATTTAACAATGTTGCTGTGTCTTTCTATTTGATGATCTGAGACATCTGATGTTTGCTCGCACCTGACACGCGTAACCGACTCCATGTAACATAGCATGAAAAATAATATTTGTGATGTGCATTTAATAATATGCTAGGTTCGATATAGTGGAAATTGGTTTGTGCCTCTCAAATCTAAAAATAACGGCGGGTGTACCGTTTAAACATTTCATTATTATTTGTTTTAGGTGGAGATTCTTTTGTAGTTTCTTGGGCCAAACTAGGAATTGCATTGTGATTAAAAATTAAAAGGAGGACACTATAGGTAGTCATCTCTGATGATAAAGGAAATGGGCATCTTTTGATGGGTCATACAAATTTATAGAAGATAGGCGTATAGGGGAATTAAGGTTTTTTTTTTTTTAAATTTAATTTTATATTTTAACATTTCAGCTTTGCTAAGTTAGAGAAGGTGCTTCCTCAGAGCTTATCTCTGGAATATAGGCTTATAGGGGAATTAAGGTTTATATATATATATATATTTACTTTTAATCTCAGCTTTGTGAAGTTAGAGAAGGTGGTGCTTCCTTCCTCAGAGCTTGCTCATCTTTGGAATGATATTTTGGACCACATTGGCAACTTAAGTGGAGTTCTATTTAGTTGAAGTTTGGGGCTGATTATTCGTAGTTTTGTGTGGTTAATGGTTGATTAATAGAGGGTTTATATTGGTGTAATAGAGGTTTATGATCTTGGGGAACTGATAAAAAGGGCAAATTTTAGTTTTGTTTTGAAGCTGTGAACAGTACAGTGAACAGGAACTAGGGGCTGTAGGGGATATTCTTTGTAGTTTTACTTAAAGTTGGATGGTGGAAAGGAGGAATGGGTAGGGTTTTTAAAGTTGTAAGTAAATTTGAGAGCAGAAAATTGAGGGGCACAAGAAGAAAGTACTAGGAGGGGAGGAAAATAGGCATATCTTAGGTTAGGATTGCAGTACAAGTTCCAAAGTGTTTCAAAAGGAAAATCATCTGGACTGACATCTACTGAATTTGGAAAGTAAATTTTAATAGGCTTCTAGGCTTTCCTAACGTTAAAAGTATATTGGTATTTTGGGACAAAATTTGAAATTTTGATCAATGATGCCGTTGGTAGATTGGATCTGCATTGGAAAAAAAAATCTCTTTAAAATATAGAATAAAAGCGATCTTTTATATCAGGCCAAATTCATCAGTAGATTATGGAACAACAATATTTTTTGGTATGGAGTGAACAACAAAAAACGAAAAAAAGAAAAATAGATAAATAAGAGACAAAGAAATACAAACTTTCAAACATAAGATGTGGTATAGGTCGATCCCTTATGTTTCCTTCGTTTTTAGATTAGGTAAGTATAAGTACCAGACTTTCTTTGCCAAATGATTTAATTGGTCATTTTGGCCTATTTTCTGATACTCTGTGTTCTTGGGGATAAGTTGACCAATTTCTGATCTTAAAAGCAGTAACAAGTGAAAGTGGAAATCCATTGAAACTGGGTACCTTTGCTAGAGTGTTGTCATGGGAAGCTCAACTGTTAGAAGTCCATTTATTTTCTGCATTGCTGCTCTATGATTCATGTTTCTGCTGATGTCCAATCTTGTTTACATCACCAGAAGGATAGTTGCTATGGTTGAACAACTAACTATTACTGCTGCTCTAACAATTACTATCATTTTGTGTACATTTAGCACTTATGGTTAATTTAATTTTTGTTCATTGTAGTTTGTAAAATATTTATTATAAGCTGATCTCATGATATGCTTTATTAGAATCTGCCGAAAGATGCGGCTATTGGTGTAGATACATGGTGTATATCAGTGGACACCGCAAAGAAATGGGAGCATGCTTTTGCCAAGAAGCAGCAAAAGCTGGTTCATACATCCACCAACTTGGTAGATGAAGTCTGGAAAAACCGACCGCCAGAAGGAACTAATCCTGTAATTTTACATCCCATAGAGTTCACTGGTCGTTCTGTCGCAGACAAGTTGAAGGAACTGAGAGAAAAGCTCGTTCTGGAGAAAGCTCGTGCTATAATTGTCACTGCACTGGATGAGGTTTGTCTATACCATCCACAACAAATATTCTTATCTGTAGCAGCTTGTGTTGTGTTGAGGTTGATAGGTTCAGTTTCTTGCATCTCCTATATTTGTTTTTTTTTTTTTTTTAAATTATTACTTTTTTTCATCTTGATTTAGGTAGTAGTGCCCATAAGTATTTCAATATGATTTGCTGCAATGCAGGTTGCTTGGTTGTATAATATCCGCGGGAGTGATGTTGACTACAATCCGGTTGTTCAGGCGTTTGCTGTGGTAACAACAGTTTCTTCTTTCTTATATGTGGACAAGAGAAAGTTGTCTTCGGAGGTCAGTATTTTTCTTCTCCTTTGTATTCTTTTTTTTATTTGTTTATTTTATTTTATTTTATATATATTTTTGAATAATGTATTCTGTTATCATTAATATGTTTTAACAGCGGTGTCTGAAGTAAAAAGGTTTATTTTCACGTTTATCTAACAAATGTTTAGTGTATACAGGTAATCAATTATTTAAAAGATAATGGAATTGAAGCACGTGACTACAGTGCAGTGAGTTCAGATGTGGTCTTGCTTGCATCCAATCAGCTCACTTCTTCAGCTAATGAAACTCAATCTGGAAATGGTAAAAATGAAGCAGAGGAGAATGGTCATAACCTCATCTGGATTGCCCCTGGTTCATGCTGCTTTGCTTTGTATTCGAAACTGAATCCTGATCAGGTTCTCCTGCAGCCATCACCTTTGGCCCTTCCCAAAGCTCTCAAGGTAGTAAATATCCATATCGAAGTTCAGACACTTTTAACCAAAAGGTGGCACATTTACTGAAAATTTTCCGTAATAGGAGCTTTCTGTATAAATAGTAGTAGTAGTAGTAATAATAATAATAATAATAAATAAATAATAATAATAAAAAAAAGAATCTGTAGTTGGAGCCACTAGGCTTTGGCAGAAAGTCCATAATGCCATAAACTGAGAGGACTGGACCAGGAATACTATCAGAAAAGGGCTATTACCCACTCCTGGTCCTGCTTACATGGGATGCAAGGAAAGAAGACTAGAGACAGACCTAAATTATTATATTATTTTGCAAAAAGTAGCTCTCAGACTCTTTTCTTGGCGTGCTCATGATTTCACATCCTCACATTTATTAGCTGAGTTTGCTATCAGATTCTTTGCTTGGCGCTCTCATGATTCGCATCCTCACACTTGTTGGCTAAGTTTTTTACCATTACAAAAAGTAACGACCCCTGATCAGTAACACTGGTTTGTTGAAAATTGGCGCATTCTTTTTCTTTTTTTCATTCTAAAATAAAATTCTAGCCAAAGTAAACCTTGAGAAATTGTAGTTGTCTAGTTGCTAAGATAGTCCAAGCCTCATTTACAGTCAGTGTAGTTATATTCCATGATTTGCTCATGCTTTTGATATCTGGTGCCAATAAGAAGTGATATCATCTCAAATTTCCTGCATTCGTTGGTGACATGTTTTTTTATTGGATTTGGTAATATATATATATATATATATATATATTATTTCTCTCTTCACATATATTTTATGCTTTACAACATATATATTTTGGTGGCTTTATTTTATTACTTTAGTTTCTTTTAGAAGCAGAACAAGGTCAAACTTTCATGTGCTTGGACGTAGACTAGGTTGTGCAATTTTTGCTAGTTGTTTTTACAATATGTTATAAATCTGTGTTAAATTCCTTTTCAAAGAATCTTCAGGAGTGCAAACAATGTTCAGAGAAGGAGTCCTTATTCCTTTTATGGGATCTCAAGTAGCCCTTGGGCCTTTTTGGGAAGAAAACCCCAACAGTACAAAAATAATAGTGTTGGATTCTGTTGGAAATTGTGTCTCAAATTCCTATTCTAGTTATGTGTCTATTTTAGAGTTGTATTATGTTTGGTAATTTCTTGTTTGGTAAGTCTTGGCCTCTAAGAAATTAGTATTATGCTCATTAGTTGTTTCACAATTTTTAAACTTAGCACTAAGATTTTTTCAATCTTTTGTTCTATCATTAGTTAATTGGCTTGTGCGATTTTTTTTTTTGTAATCACGAATTTGATGATCAGTATAAATAAAGTCAGCTAGGCTTTTTACTTTCACTACCGTATAATATTTTAATTCCTGTAGATTACTTAATTGTTCATTTGTTGAATTTTCTCTTAAAATTTTTGCTATGTTTTAATTATTGTTTGTAATAAATTTATCAATAGTTCATTTTTTTGGATTTAATTAGTTATCTATTCTTCTCATCTTTTTAAGTTTTTCATATCCAGATTCATACTAGTAGATATATTCAACAACTTAAGTAAAAAATGATGGCAACTCAGAAACAAAATATATAATTTATGATAACAAAAATTAATGAAATTATATTTACTTATCAAAAAATAATAATAAAATTATAAAATAATTTAATTTATAAAACCATAAAGAAAAATTAGGTCTAATGCTCCAATAAATTCTTCTATAGAATAAAACTATATTCAAAATCTTTCGACAGATTGTACCGAGTACTGAGTCGAGAAAAGAAAAAAAAATGCTACACAATTAGGGAAGATGGAAAATATGCGAGTAATAAGAAAAAGAGGGAAGATAAGAGTTAATTAAGAGTAAAAAATATGGAAAGTTTCACAAATCTCAACCATATTTAATACTTACTGTTGTTGTAATGATGATGATGAGAAACATGTATATATATATATATGTACGATGTAATGAGGAATCGAGGATAATAGTGAGAGAAAAAAAATTGATAAAAGGATAAAAATATTTTTGGCCAACTATTAAAGTTCTCTCTTGATTTAGGTCTAATAATAAAAGTAAATAAAATTTTTAGGTAAGTTATAGTAGATAAAGATCTTTTAGGCCCATTATCAAATCTCTTTATTCGTCGAGGTTTAATACTTGAAGAGAATTTTTTTTTTGAAGGAAAGTTATATTTGTGACGACCTCTGTGGGCGGGTGTGATGTGGGCGAGCACTGGCAAGTTACAGGGTGTCATGATCCCACATCACCTAAGAAAGGTGAAGTGCTATATGTAGGTTTCTACACCCGCATTTTAAAGTCGTGATGGTCGTGAACCATCCAAAACTCTAGAGTTAAGCGTGCTTAGCCTGGAGTAGTACCAAGATGGGTGACCCCCTGCGAAGTCTGTGGTCCAGGGGAGCCAAAAGCGGACAATATTATGTTTGGCTAAGGTGAGGGTTGTTACGAATGGTATCAGAGCCGGAACCCAGTCAGTAGTGCGGCCAACGAGGACGTTGGGCCCATGGGGGACGATTGTGGCGTCCTCTTTGAGCAGGTGTGGTGTGGGCAAGCATTGGCAGGCTATAGGGTGTCATGGTCTTACATTGTCTGGGAAAGGTGAAGTGCTATATGTAGGTTTTACACTTTTCTATGACACAACGCGTTTTAAAGCCGTGATGACCGTGAACCCATTAGAACTTAAGAGTTAAGCGTGCTTAACCTGGAGTAGTACCAGGATGGGTGACCCACTGGGAAGTCTCTTATCTGGGGAGCCAAAAGCGGACAATATTGTGTTTGGTTAGGGTGAGGGTTGTTACAATAATATATAAAGAAATACAAATTTTTGGGGCCTTCTTATTTGTCGGGGCTTAAGGCAGTCGCCCAACCTGCCTAAGGCTCAAGCCGGCCCTGATCCTTGTCTAACAAGGAATTGGGTTTGAAACTCAATAAATAGATACAAAGGATTTGGGTTGAGACTTATGAGATTGAGAGAGATGTAGTCTCATGAGGGGGTTGATGAGTAGAGGTAGTATGTGAGTTGGTAGAGTAGGAAAAACACCTAGGGTCACTGGTAGCGAGGAGACAAACATACATGGTGAAAAGACATGTATGCGGTGTTGGTACTCTATTGTTGTAACATCTCTACAAATCACAGTGGAGTCTCTTCTCATTCATGGACGTAGCCCTGAATTTGGCTGAATCATGTATATATTGTCTTTGTGTGTGATTGTTTTGTTGGCTTTCATTGGATCTTTGTGTTCGCACGCTTCTGCTGCCCCCAACAGATTCTAATAGACTGTTGAGAGAGAATTAATTGATTTTTTTTTTAATTATAATTTTTCAATACATATTGGATTTGGCAATGCTAAAGGAGTAATATCAAAATATCTGAATTTTTTGTATTTTTATTAAGAGCATAAACTTCAGTTCTTGGATTATGACAAACTGAATCCATAACTCAAATGTGGAGATGAGTATTCCTAAAACTCTAAATTGTATACTTAATGTCAGAATGTACTAAGATTAAAATACTTTTCATTCTTTTTAATCGTGTCAAGGGTCCGATGTTCAGAACAATTTTGCTTTCCTATTTTGATATCATCTCTGCCTAGTTAATTTAGCTTCTGGCTGTTTATATTTTCAGAACCCCGTGGAGTTGGATGGGTTAAAAAAGTGTCACATTCGTGATGGTGCAGCTGTTGTGCAATTTCTTGTCTGGCTGGATAAGCAGGTAATGTTAGGATTAAGAGTTCTGTTTTATAATCGTAAAAATGTAGTTTTATTTCATGGTAGGTGCAAATTAAACTTATTCAAGGTTAAGGTCTCTTTCTAGGTTTTCCCTTTCTGATCCCATCTTATATATATATATATATATATATATATATATATATATATATGTACCATCATATGCAAGAGTCTCAGAGTCACTTAAGTGGTGGCAAGTGCATCTTGGCATCTGCAAACCAACGCATATTACCTCAAATTGTTTTCACTTTGCCTTCCATGGGACTTGCGCGCACACAATCTCTCATTAAGATTATTTGCACCTTAAATCTAAGCTTTTGCTTTGAATGTGTTATGAACTAACAATTATGTTATGGGCAGACAGGGCAGAGCTAAATAGAGCTGACTGGGGACAAGTGACCCAGTGATTATTTTTTTATTTGAAAGTGGATAACATGCAAAGAGTTGAATTTTGGGAAAGAACTTGACCTTGCAATATAATATAGGCTGACAGTTCTATATTAGCCTACAACCAAGAAAGAGAAAAAGAGAATCAAGTGGTGGAATGTGGAAGGAGAGGACGCCAAATTATTTAATGATAAGATGCTGAAAATAGTAACACGGGATTTAATGATAAGATACTGAAAAGAGGTTTGAAAATTTGATCATGTTAAGTGCTTGAAGGGTGATGATCTAAGAGTTACCAAGATGATAAAATTGAAGAAAGGTAAAAAAAATTACTTTTTGTCGATGAAAAGGTAAAAAAAATATCCAAGATGACAAAATTGAAGGAAGTTAAAAGTTGTACTTTTTGTTCGCTGAAAAGGTAAACAAATTACTGTGGGAATGATAAAAAGAGGAAGGGATTTAAGATCATATTGGTAGTATGGTACTCTTATTATTTATCAAGGCTTGAAAGTGCTATGTAGATTATGGCATGTCTTGAATAATAAATGTTTTTAATAAGATCATTATAATAAAAGGTTGGTGAGTGGTGAAAAAGTATCTTAGTATTTATTGCTATATTAAATTAAGGAGTCATGTTATGAAACTTTAGGAGTTTGTGAGCAACAATTAATCCTTATAATAATAGTATAAAAAAATCAATTTGGATTTGAGCTCTTAGATGTTGATTATGAAAATTGTCTACTGAATGAGGAGGCTTAATAAAAAAGGTGTATATAGTGAGAAAGATTGTCATATGATTTTTATAGATTCGAAAAAAGCCTATAATAAGATCGCGACTATATAATATGGGTTAAGCGCTTTTAACCCCCCTGTAGTATACTCCACATAGCACTTTCACCCCCCTACTTTCTAAAATGTGCCATGTCACCCCTTATTTTTGAAAAAATTGTGCGAACCCCCCCCCCCTCTTCTTCTCATATCACTTATCTGCAAAAAGTGACAAAGTAATTGTAATATGCCCCTTTTTCCCTTTTACGCTTCCGAAAATGCCCTCGACTGTGTCATTCTCCTCCTCTCTTCTTCTTCACGCTACTGCAGACCCATTTCTAACTCCTGTTCACACAGAAACTTTCAGCCCTTATTCTGGTCATCATCCACCACTTCTTCAACACCAAACCTATATCAATCAATTCCTTACCCTCTAATCTATCTATTGGAACAAAAATCTTCCACAACCATCGCCTAGTTCATGAGTTCCAAATTTGAAATCAATCCATGCATTCTTCAAATCTGACCCGAACTCCATCAAATTAACACAGTTAATTATGCTAAATGGACAAAGCAACACTGAGTTCATCAATTAATACAATCAACACACGACAGTCCTCATCATCTACTTTTAATTCTACATATATTCATGTATAACAAACACACACACACACACATATATATATACCCATACATTCAGCCACCATCACCTAGATTTTTTTTTTTTTGTGATAAGTAAATAATGTATAAAAGAGCATCCAAAAGGGGAACGCATCCCAAAAGAGCCACAAAAGAACAGAGGGCCTCTAAACCCTCAAATAACCCAAAAAATCAACAAACTCCTCTATGGATTTACAATTTCTCCCAATAACCCAACAAAAAAGGGTGCTAATAATGGAGAATTTCAAAGACCCAATAGTATTTTCCTTTCCTTCAAAAGATCTCCTATTTCTTTCAAGCCAAATGCACCACCAAATGCATAAAGGTGTAACTCTCCAGAAATCCTGACTTGAACCCCCACTGTACAGCCTTTCCAAGCCTCAATAAAGCATTTGGGAGACCTCGGCATAACCCACTGATGCCCGAATAACCCCAGCATCAACATCCAACAATCCCATGCCACTGGGCAATGCAAAAGAAGATGATTAACTGTTTCCTCATCGTTCTTACACATAAAGCACCAGTTAACCACAATCTGATTCCTTCTCCTTAGGTTGTCTTGAGTCAAAATCTTCCCTAAGATGGACTATATGGAGTGTTGACACGTATATATTGTGAGAATAAGCACAAAAGACTACAAGCTGTATAAAGCAACACATTTATTTAAGTAATTTCCACTTCTCTGTCTTAATTTGTACTTGATGGCTTCTCTATTTCTGGATTAACGATCTTGGTCTACAGACCAAAGTAAAATGACTAAATGGAGTAAGCATCCCTTCAAAACCAAACCAACAAATAGTAAATCTTGTCCAATCCCATCATTTAAAAAAATAAAGAAAAATTAAAAAGCAAAACAATGGCATCTCTGAACCATTTTTCCACAATCCTTCTTGGTCTTTTTATAATCACAAATCAAAAACCACTATTGGTGTGCATCCTTGATTTACATAAAAACATATTTCCTAAGCATGAGAAACTTTACTAAGCAAACAAACCTGAAACATGTTAATGAATCGCCAAAACTTTACTTCCCTGAGTAATTCTAGTCACGCAAACCTACAAATTTACATCAAAATATTGTCATTTACAATATTTCTGGAGGTGAGAATTTTGAACGACAACTCCAGTAGATCTTCTTGAGGAAGAATATATGTATAGATCACAAGGAAGATATATACATGTGTGTGTGTGTGTGTGTGTGTGTGTGTGTGTGTGTGTGTGTGTGTTTGATACTATACGTACAAGAAAAAACGTTGGGTGTAAGAAATGTAAGAAATGGTCCTTTCACATTTGATCTTTTTTTTAAATAATGTAAGAAATGTTTATGTAAGGGTATTTTGGTCAAGATCTTAGTTTAATGTGCCAGTTAGTACTTGCACGCTTTTTCAATTTGAGGGGATTTAGTGCACAACAGGGGTTTGATATGAACTATAAGGATAGTACAGGGGCGTTAACTGCACTTCACCCCTATATTATTTAGTAGGTTTTAAATAAAAAAGGAGTCACAAATTGAAATATCGAAAAAATAAATAAATAAATAATAAATTAAATTAAGTAGATTTTAATCATCTTAGGTTTACATCAGGGATCAACATGAAGCACCTTTCTCTATCTAAATTAAGGATAACTTGAGAAACTGTCTAGACATGTTTAGAATGAGGTTCAATTGTATGTGCTATTTTCTTGATGATATTTGTTTTAATTGGTGAAACCAAAGTAGGCTAGGTGCTAAATTAGATATTAAAGAGAATATTAAAATCAAGAGAATTAACAATTATGAGTATCAGTAAATTGATGGTTTGTAACATTATAGTGAGGGTAATGATCTCTTACTCACCAGTGAAGAAGAAATTCATCCGCACTATGCATAGTGACCATTGGATGTAAAAAATTAGTTACCAAAAAAACATAGCAATCACATCCAACAGACATCTTAGTCAAAAGTCTCGCATCTCTGATTTGCTGCCCCCTCATCTATGCATGGTGTGGATGAATTTCTTGCTCACCGGTGAGCAAGAGATCATTTCCTATTATAGTGAATATCGGTAGGCAAGATATATAAAAAAGTGAAGAGTTTCATTACCTAATTTAGACTATTTGCAGGAAGGGACAGATTATTGAGGATAATGCTCATAAAATTGAAGATGAGTGGAGTGCTTCTGGAAATTGTACAATTGATATATGTTGTAAAAATAAAAAGGCAAATTTTGTAACACAAGTATTCGATAAAATGAGAGCAAACTGATTTAAGATGGTTTCATGAGTAATAATTATACTAAAGGGTGTCATGATCCACGTTGACGATAAATATGGAAAAAGGATTGAGTAATTAATATGGATCTAGATAGGAAAGAAGAGGAGAAGGCTATGAACATGGATCGAGATAGTAAAGAAAGATATGGTGTGGCTTAATTGAAGTTATGGCGTTAAGTAGAGTAGAAATGGTGAAAAAATGATTCATACAGTGTACTCCAAATAGTTGACATAGGGTTATGTTGAATATTTACCAAGGGTTTATTGATAAAGAAAATCCTGAATTTAGTTTCCTAAATAGAATTCAATGTGTTTTATAAATTATGATTGATCGGTGGAAGAAAAATGCTTTTATAGGATTGGTCATTCAAATTTTAATTTATATTGCATTATTTTAGCATGAGAGTTTACCTTTCATTTTTTTTCTTGTGTTTATTATAAATGTTTTTGTTGCTATGAGTGGTAGAGTTCTTATTGTTTGACATTGCTGTTACACTTATCTCACTTCAACTAAATCTTGTTCCAAATATTTGGGATGGTTATATTAATTTTGTTCTCTCTGAGGCCAATCTACCTTTAGTATTTGTTTTACGAAATTGAGGACTGGTTCTCAAATGTTTAAAATGTTACACAGAAAATAAAGTATTGTTTTTCAATGTCTCTATGACACAATGATGATATATATGAATGCTGAATTAAGTTGGATTTTAAAAGGAAAAAAAGAGGAAAGAATTAAGCTATATTTTTTACCGGATACTGCTTCCAAAAAGTTTTCCCTTTACTTAGAATTTGTTGACATTGTTCTACAGCATTTTTCTTTCACTTTTTAGTTTTCCTGATGTAGAAACTTGCAGGATTGATATGCCAATTTTTATGTGAGGAACATATTACTGTACTTTCGTTGTAATGACTTCTCAAATCAGAGATCATTTTTATTATGAAGGCTCTTTTTAGCACTTAGGTTGTGTATTTATTTTGATAATGCCATTGATCTCTACATGGTTCAATTTTTTTGCAGATGCAAGAAATTTATGGGGCTTCTGGTTATTTTGTGGAGGCAGAGTGTACGAACAAGACAAAACAGTCGTGTGTTTTTCCTCATTGATTTTAGTACTTTTGGCTAATTTACTTGCTAGTAGCGCAGAGTAACTGCTTTTGTTCATTTTCATTCTGCATATTTCGTACTTGGTAGAATTCGTTTCTGTGACCCAGAAGGACATACGAGAACTTTTACTAATTTATACCTAAAGGTTGTCCCTTTATAATGGGTAGAATGGTTAAGTCATGTCTGTTTATTATTTTGGTCAAGTTTGATGATAATATAAATGAACTGGTAAAAGGTAAAATACTGATGTTCTGCATGGGAATCAAATGGTTAAACTAATTGTTGTCTTGGAGTTAATAAAATATTGTTCCCTTTGAATAAAAAATTATGTTTAGTTCTTAACCTGAATTTGGAACTGCTTTAGTATTCACATTATCTAACAGACAGACAAAATGCTTCTGTATTCCACAAGCACATTGCCCACTTTTGAATCATGATTTCATGGATGGGTTTTCTCTAGAGCCTGTACCAGGGTTACTCTGCATCCATAAAGCTGTATCATATCAATCTGTCACTGATTGAATAAAATATGGCAGGGAAACCATGAAACTGACGGAGTTGTCTGTAAGTGATAAGCTAGAGGGGTTCCGCGCATCAAAAGAGGTAATGTGTTTTTTATAATTAATGACTATTCTGAACAATTAAAGGCAGATATAATGTAAGACACATTTAAAGTTGGAAATAGAGATATTTTAGTTTAGTAGAACAACTTCCCGATTTCTTCTGATAATGAAATATGTGGATGCTGCCATACTGGTAGTAGCATTTTATAATTCTTGTTAAATTACTTTGACATATTGATGCATTTCTTTCTTCATTTGAGTTTCTTGGCTTTTAATTTTCTATTCGAATAATTATTTGAAAGTTATATGACATGTTTGCTATTACTTTATTAGGAAGTCGGTTTTTAACAATTCATGTTGCGAACATGTTTCTAATTCTTCTGGAGAACATCTTTTGTATGGTTGTCTCTCTCTTTCTTTTAGTAATACTCCATATCTTGTCATAATAGAAAGTATTGTTCCGAATGTGTGTGTGTGTGTGTGAGCAAAAAATGAGATACTTTTCCCATAAATAATGTGAAGTTTACTAGAGCATATACCCATGACTATATGTACAAGTAATACAGAATCTTTCCTTTCTTTTCAACTTATGATCGTGGAGGCTCCAAGTTCTTATTCTGGACATCTTCTGATGTATCCAGAGGATGGATGTCTCATCGTTACTGTATGTGTGGCTAGAAATCTGCTATAAAATGTGATATATACTTTTGGGTAAAAGAGCTTGCAGCAGTTTAAAAGAAAATGAATTATGTGGTGCAGTTGTTTTTCTAAAATTTATATAAATTGTTTTATGTGGTTTAGGTGATATGTGTCATTTTTATTTACTGGCATTTTGTTTCACATGCTCATATTCTTTTATATTTTATGTCTGCAGCATTTTAAAGGGTTGAGTTTTCCTACTATTTCATCAGTTGGTCCTAATGCAGCAATTAATCATTATAAACCAGAGAAGGAAACATGTTTAGAACTTGACCCAAATAGCATTTATTTATTCGATTCGGGAGGACAGGTCTGCAGCTAAATTAAATAGTTTGTGCTCTCATCATATAGCCATTTGTTAGAACTTGTTTTTCTAATACCTTGATTTTTTTTTTTACCTTTATTGGTGTTGCTCTCTTTGAAGTATTTAGATGGAACCACTGATATAACACGGACAGTTCATTTTGCAAAACCTTCAGCACATGAGAAAGCATGCTATACTGCTGTAAGTGGTATTTGTTAATTTCCTGAACACCTTTGTCTGTTTGTTACTTAATTCCAAGTTAATCTTGATTACACCTGTCCAAATTTATAATTGTAAGCTTTTGCTGTGGCTCATTTGGAGCTGCCAGATAACAATTAGAAACCTTATCCCACATGGACGTGTTTCTGGAGTGGGAACCAAGTTATTGAATTATTTTCAGTGATGGATGTTTCAATCAACCCTGGAACACCTTGGAATGTGAATAAAAATGCCACAAATTTTGTGAACTGAAAGTTCTCAAAAATGATGACCGAGGTTGTATTTGGTTAGATGTTGGAAGGAGAGGAATTGGGGATTCAGATTTGTGAATTAGTAGGTTAGAACGTGAGAACTCTATATCAAGTAGAATTCGACTATAATCCTTATTGATGGATATTCCATGACATCCTTCATTTTGTTATTCCAAACCCACAAATTCAATTGTCTCAATCTCTTTTTGAAAGCCAGATCCAACCTACTTAAATGCCAAAATGGCTATTGGGGACAATAAAAAGTGAGGGAGAGGAGAGAGTAGGGATATCCAATTAGAATCCTTCCTAGGATAATTTCAAATAACACCCTTGGTTATTTCAAATCTATAAAGGAAAAATATTCTCAATCTTCTTCAAAGCCAAATCCAAGCTGCGTAAATAAAGTGAACCTGTGGAATCAAATGATCCACTCATTATAATTCCATCAATCCAAAAGCAATCTAACACTTCACAACCAAAAGAACATATATGTGAACGGTAAATTGAAGTATTAGAGATAGACCTGTCAACTGAATCAAAATGTTTTCAGCATTATTTTTTCGTTTTTCTTCCCTCTGTTTATTATTCGTACTCTATTTTTTTAATTTTAACAAAGAGTCAAATACTTAATTCTTCTCTTTTTTGTTAATTTTTTATTTGTCTTCTTTGGCCTTTTTCACTTCTTTTAATTATTGTTTGGGAATCTCTTTTGACATCAATTTAAAAAAAAAAAAAAAAAATCTATACCCTTAATGGATCATGTTTGATAGAGCCTATAGCCCTAGCCATGATTGAGCTCAATTCAGTATTGTTCAGGCAAAGCTGGAGCTCGGCTTGATCAAGCTCATTTACACAGTATCAATAGGTTTGGCACATACAATTTGGTCTATTTATATACATACTAATTGTTCCATTGGTAGAAAAAATTGCTGTCAAACACTGCCTAATTCTTGATCTTCACCCTCAAAACACATTCGAGCTGATTGAACAAATATGAGCGAAAAGAAGAGTGATGTTCTTCATGGTGATTCAGTCGTCGTAGTTTGTTCGCCACGAATGAAGGGTGGTCTTGTATATGTGGCGGCCATTCAACACAGTCGAACTGATGAAACAAATACGAGGGAAAAGAAGAGAAGGGTGATGTCCTTCATGGCGATTCAATCAGTGTAGTCAATATGGAGTATGTTCGCTTCCTTGTCGGCATTCATGGATAAAGGGTGGTCTTGTGTATGTGGTGGCTAGGGTTTTGTTAGAGTTACTCCATTTGACACTTACTTGTCAAGGCCATCTCGAAACCGAATTGCTGCATCTACTATGATCTTTTAAGGAAAGAGAGGTAAACTTGATGACTGAAAGGAGTGAAAGCTGATGTTTGCAGTATGGTACTCTATTCTAACTAGAAAGATTCCTGAGCTTCATCTCGGCTAGCCCTATAGTAAGGAAGGGGGTCAACTGGCAAATACTAAGAAAATGATGGTTCTTGATAGAGTGTTGACTCCTGTAGGCGTATTGAAATATGCTAAAAAGCGACCAGCCGAAGCTCTAAAATAGAGGTCACTTGGGTTAGGAAAAGTAGATGGGCTTGGATTCTATTTTAAAATTGATAAAAATATATTATAATGGTTAGGTTGGGCTAGGATATACATATGAGTTAAAGATATTGAAATGATTTAATGGGCCTAGTTTGCATGGGCTAAGCTTATATATCATCAAATTTATAAAATTATTATTTTAATTTCATGAGCTAAAAAAAGTCCTTAATTGAGCATGTTCATGAACAAACGAGCCAAGCAGAGAGATGCTTGAACTCAACTTGTTTTATAAAATGAATTTAAGAATTTTGTTTGAGCTCAATTTCATTTACTGAACCGAGCCCTTCTGTTCATTTACAACCCATTTCTGACCATACACTGGCTACTACCATGCATGTTATCCTTACCAATACTGTCATTGTTGTCTGTAACCATTGCATACCCACATGACACCAGCATTGCCAGTTATGGTGACTGCCACCACCATAACTATAATCTTGTTACCGATTACAAGCACTGGAATGCCACCACCTTGAAACAAAATTACCTCCAATGTCTCTTGTATTATGCCTAAATTACCACATCCATCATCTCGTTTTTGTTTAGCCGCCAGTACCATCATGGTTGCTGCCTATGATACTCTACTGCCTACAAGCATAGTTCTCCGTGTTAGCCGGTTCTTTGCATATAGGCAGAGCCGTAACACACCCGGCTGAATGATATATAAATAGTAATCAAAATTACATGGACTTGGTCAAGTAGTCACATTAAATGGTGTGCAAGTTGAAAATGTTCACAACTACGATAATTGAATCCTTGAAGTTAAGCCTGATATAACCCGTGTCCGCATTGGTGTCCATGTCTGTAATTATGCCTACAAGAGGTACCTAAAAACAAGACTGGCTACACTAAATCACTAGTTTTTTTTAAAAAAAATTTTTTGGGCAAAGCTCTTCCAGCACCTCCATCACTAAGGATCAGTTACCAATTACCAAGGTTTTGTTCCCTCCCCCTATTAGTCGCGAACCTTTGACACTCTTCCAATAGTCATTTTAGTTTTTGATGAGTCGATTTTTTATAATTTATAAAATGGTAAAGTTACCAATATTTTAATTATTTGAATTGGAAAACCAGAAATCAGTTTTTATATGTAATTTCATGATCATTCTGATACTGGTATTTGCATATATTGGTCACGTTTAACAATTGAAGTTCTTATGATTTATACTTTTCATGGTATGGAATACTTGGAGAGGTTTGTGTTGCATGAACATGCTCAGAGAATGAGTACATTTTGTCCTGGAAAGGATAATAAAAGTAATATCTTTATTGCATTCTCTTATATTTCTTATTTCAGGAGTTAAATGATTTTATAATTATGCTGTCATATCAAAGGAGAAAAAATGCTTTGCTTTTTATTTATATATAATCTTGTAAAAGTGTAACTTAGCTATGTTTTTGTTTCGTCTTGCTTGCTGTTATCTAGGATCTTGAAAAGTTTCTTTATTTTCTTGTTTTCAGGTTCTCAAGGGTCATATTGGTTTTGGCAATGCTCGATTTCCAAATGGAGTTCAAGGTATTATGAGTTTTCTTCCTTTACTTAAATTGGTAATAATTCATTAAGTTGCTTCATTTCAAAGTGGTGTAAGTTCAAGTATCATATAATGGAGTGGACTCCTAACTGAATGCACATAGTTTTCTGATTTTCTCCTTTTAAATGAAGTAATGGAATTTTTGCCCGATGTAAAGATGTGGATTTAGTTTTTCCTTTGGTAAGTAAAAATGTGAATTTTTCCATATGCTTATGTTATTCCTTTTCAATTGTGAATTCTTTTTATAGGGTATGGTATTGATGTTCTTGCTCGAATGCATTTGTGGAAATTTGGCCTTGATTTTCGACATGGTACTGGACATGGAGTGGGGTCTTACTTGAACGTTCATGAGGGTGAGTAATGAACAATAATATTTTTGTAATCTTGAGTCTACTTATATGTCAACTAGTTAGCTGCATAATCATTTCCTTGCAATTTTGAGACTACTTCTATATCAACTAAATGGCTGCATCTTTTCTCTCTTTATATTTTGACAGGACCCCATGGAGTTGCTGCAAGACCGCAGCCCGTGCCCGTGCCACTACAAGCTACAATGACAGTCACGATTGGTAAGTGTCATATTTTTACTGCCTTGTGGCTCTAGATTGAGTTTGTATGACTAGGCATGCATGCATACTCGCTCTTATGAGCTCTTTATCCCCTACTTTTTTGGACATGTTTTCTTGGTGGATTTGTCTTATGGAAGTCCTCGGGAGTGAATAAATAGCCTACACATATAGAGATTCACTTTTGATGTATCACAGAAGGTTTACACAAATTGACCATACTTCTCTTTTAAAGAAACACCTGCATCCCAACTTCTCTAAATTTGTGTTCATCTTTTTCAAGAACCAAAAGAAACACTTGTGTCGGAAATCTTTAATCATTCGTCTTCTTTTTTCCTTTGGAATTCTTATAATGGAATTGCATTTTCTAGAACCTGGCTATTATGAGGATGGTAGCTTTGGCATAAGATTGGAGAATCTACTTATAATCAAGGAGGCTGATACAAAGTTCAACTACGGTGACAAAGGTTACTTGGAATTTGAGCACATAACATGGGTAAGATTGTTATACCACCTATCCCTTGAATTTTAATTTTTTTTTTTTTGTTTTTACCTTTTAATTTCTGTGTATATGTCAATTATTGAACTTGAAAAGCTTAACTATTGAAGTTTACTCAGCAGAAACTAGGTCAGTTTGTGCGGTAAAAAATAAAAGAACTCTTTCAACTTGTTATACTTTTTCAAGTGGTCCAGTGTGTTTTTCTTCTTTTTAGCATTTGCAAGAAATTTGGGTTTTTTGTTCCTGTTTTTATTTTATTCATTGCAGTTGATTTAACTTGAAAGCAGTTAATAGATAAAATACTCTGTTTTTATGAGCAAAATCAATAAATTAAGTGAAGAGTTTGAAACCTGTGATTAGATTGGCTATCATATATGTGAATCTGTTACCATTTTTCCTATACCGCCTTGCAAACACTGAAATGTGATTTATTTTTTTTCTCGAAAGTTCACTGAAATGTGACTTTCTTAAATACATGGAGTGGAATAAAATACTTCTCTAGTCATTTGCTAGTGACAATAGAGTATTTTTAATTCTTCTAATTTCTGATGCTTCGTCTTTTGTCCAGGCACCGTTCCAGAGAAAGTTGATGGACATGAGCCTTCTACAGCCTGAAGAAATAAATTGGTTGAACACTTACCATTCCAAGTGTAGAGAAATCCTTGCCCCATACTTGGATGAATCTGAAATGGCATGGCTGAAGAAAGCTACTGAACCCATCAGTGCCTGAGTGGATCATTCATTATCTGTATTCGGGACTCGAAAACCAAACGCTGATGCTACAACTTTTTTTTTTTGTCAAGCATATTAAATATTATTATCCTCAATAAATTTTAGTAATGGAATATAAGTTAATCTAAGTATCTTTGGTTTCTTCACATTTGAGTTGCTCTGTTTCTCTTTCTTCCTTCTTTTTTTTTTTTCCTTTTATTCCCTTTTCCGTTGAGTTGCTCTGTTTCTCTTTCTAAATATTCTGCCTTGAAGAAAACTTGGATCAGAATTGTTACGAAACAGCTTAGTTGTCCCGAAAGCCCTTCACTACATTATTGCCTGTTTCATTTATCGTCCAAAATCTTGCATCACGGGAGTTTGTGGCTAGGTATTTCCCAATAAGATTGTCCGGTTCCTACGGAACCTATCCACTAAAATGCCCCTAAGAGGGGCCATGTTTCCCCCGACCCTGCCGGTAGAGGCACTGAGCTGGTACCAATTATCATATAAGGCCTCCTGCAATCAGTGACGTTGGACAATCACTTCCTGCCCCTCTATTCTTTCTTATGATGCTATTTTTAGGTTTTGTTTTTGGTTGTCATAACTTGATATTTGGATGTGCTTAGACAACTTTTCTTGTGGTTTAGGTGAATTTTGTCAACCAATCTCAATTCAGAGCTGGGACAACTCTAGCCCAACGTGAACAAACTCTATTATATATTGGTATTAATAAGAATGCAATTATTGGAATATTAGTAGCTCTGGACTTGGATTCTCTCCGGTTGGAGAGGGTGTTGTCGTACTCCACTAATCATTAGCGGGTGCGTCTCATATTGATCTAATCTAACACCACTGGAGTACAAAACCCTCTCTTAACAATTTGATTAACCTTAACCTGATCACTTAGGAGTTGGGACCTAATCGAATTATAACCCATCAATAATTATCACTTAGGAGATACTTCCTCCGTCCCGAAATTATTAAGCACCTTTGGAATTCCAATTTTGTAACGGGACAAACATTTTAAAGTATTGTTAGTTTAGGATATGCTCTCTAATCCTATGTAATATTGTTCAAGGAAAATTTAACAAAAATAAAAAGGGTTAATTTCACTGACACCCTTTTAAGCTTGACGAAATATCATCTTCAAACATTTTTCAAAAATAACTATCACTCACATCATAAACTTTTGCTCCGTTTTTCACTAACACCCCAACCGTTAGTTGAACAATTCTGACATGATGTAAAATGACTTAATCACCCTTTGAATTTGTCAAACTAACCATTTACCTTAAAAAAAAAAAATTAGAGTTAATTTCACTGACACCCCCTCAGGTTTGACCAAATATCACTCTGAAACAACTTTCAAAAATTACTATTACTTAGCCCAATTTTACTTTTCCGTCACTAACACCGTTAAAAACGTGCGAAAAGACAAATCTATCCTTATTTTTAAAATTCATTTTACGCTAAATTATCAACAAATTGAAAAGACAACATTGCCCCAATAGTTTCTCTCTCTAAAATATATATGTATAGATATATATACAAATAGGCTCGGTGGCTTCAACAACGGGGACGACGGCAACAGCAACGGCAAAGACGACAACAGAAACGGCAACGGCACGACAATGACAGCGACGCAACTACTCCAAAGATGACAAAGACTATCAACGATTCTGATTATGTTTTATCTGAAACAATCATTCCCACAAAACAAACCCAAATCGACGTCAACACCGTCAAAATTGCAATTAATGGGGCCACCACCCCCCACACCGGCGCTGCTACCACCACCATTCCCAACCCCCACGTTGTGCCTCGCTGTCTAATCTCCACAACCTCTCCTTTATCTTTATATACATACACAAAGTTTGGGTTTGCTTTGTGGATTCTTGAGAATTTCTCGAGTGGTTTTTTTCTTTTCTTTTTTTGATTATAAATTCAGATAAAATAGGAAACAAAAATTGATCAGATAGTCGGTGCATACGAGGAATACGTAAACAACGTGGCAGGAAATAATGGGCCTCCACCACCAGTGTGGTTCAGAGGGTTTGCTAACGATGTGAAGGGAAAAGAGATAGGGAAACAAAAATATCAGATAAAAGATAAAATATCATATAAAATGGGAAACAAACATAGATAATCAGTGCATACAAGGAGTATGTAAACAATATGGCAGGGAATGTGAAGGGAAAAGGGAAATATGCGTGAGAGAAGTAGTTTGGTTTTAAAATTACATAAACACCTAGAATTGTTATGAGGTGGCAGATTTTTGTGAGGGTACTTTGGTACAATAGCTTTTCCATTTATATTTACTTTTATACAATAGCTTTTCCATTTATATATATATATATAAATTATAATATAATATAATTATAAATTGCAAAACATATAGGGATAATTTAGTCTTTTTACTCTAGTTTTGTAGGTTAAAGAACTCCTTTGACAAAGTCAAAGAGTATTTTAGTTAATTTACATGGTGTCAGAGCTCTGAATGTGATGGTTGGGGTGTGAGTGAAAAACAGAACAAATATTTGCAGTATGAATGATAGTAATTTTCAAAAGTTGTTTTAGTGTGATATTTGGCCAAACCTGAGGGGGTGTTAGTGAAATTAACCCAAAAAATTAAATTAAAAGACTAAAATACCCTTAGAAAGTTTTAAATTTTCAAGGGTAAAGTACACCAATACCCCTGAGGTTTGGCATAAGGACAGGTAAATGAAAGTCTCTTATTTTTGGACAATTACACTCCCTCAGTTTGATAAAATGGACAAAGACACTTGACTATGGTGAATTGACTAAATATAAATATATATATGTGTGTATATATATGTAATACCCCGATAATTTTAAAAGATTTATTAATTAGGATTAATTATTTTATTTTATTTTTCAATGATTTATTTTATTTTATTGAGTGCTAGATTAATTATCTTATTTTAATTAAGTTATATTTCGTGATTATGTATGATGATTGATTATTTGTGTGGTTGATTATTGATTGAATTATTGGTGTGTTGATTTTATTGGTATTATATGACTTAGTTGTAAATTCTTGTTTGTTTATGTGCTTCATGTAATTAGTTATTTTAATTTCTGTATTTAATTAATTATCTTATTTATTTAAATTAATTGGATTGGGCTTAAGGAAAGTTGGACCAAAAGATGTGGTCTTGGGCTTGTATGAAACCTTATTGGGTTAATTAATGAAGGTCCGTGGTTATTTAATTATTTAAATGATCACTTTTGTATCAATTATATTTATATATATATATATATATATATATATATAATTAATTCATAATTGTTATGGAAAGATATATATATAGATATATATTTATTGATATTTATAAGTATATATGATTTAATTAACTAATGAGTTAATTATGGAAGGAATATATATTTATATATATATATATTTATATATATATATGTTTATAGATATAAATTATTTAAAGATTATTATTTTAATTCATAATACTAGTTGGAATAGGATTTGGAATTTAAGGTGTATAAAAATACACATAAGGCTTTAGGGTTAAAGGTTTTACACGTTAGAAAAATAAAACAGACAGAGAGAGAGGAAGAGGAAGGGCTGACAAGGAGGAGGTCGGATCTGAAAAGGAGGACGTCGGAATTGGAAGAGATAATTAAAGCTTAAAGCGTCGGTTTCGTTTCGAAACCTTCAGGCGAGTTTTCTCTAACTTTCCTCTTAGAACTCATAAGGATTTCACCTTGAGTATCAAGGCTTTAATTAAATTTATTTGTTTAAAAATTATGGTTAGATCGGAATAATTAAAAAGTATAAACTATTATATTTGATTTTTAGATTATTGGATTTTAATTGATATATATAGGTGTTATGTATATTTTAAAATCAATCTATAGGTGGATTTGTGACCCAAGAGAGTTAATTATGGTTTCTTTATTTTCTAGAATTGTTCTGTAATTTTCTGGAATTTTTCTGATATTTTTAGGAATTTATTAGGATTTATTTTCCTATTATTTGTTAGGAAAATAATTTTATATATATATATATATATATATATATATATATATATATACTAGGTAACTGGCGCATGTGGAGCGGCGGCACAATAAAGAATTGATCCAGTGCGGCGCGGTGTAGGATAATAGGGTGTATACGCCAATTAGGGCCATTTGATTAATTAAACTTATGTGAATTGATATGGTGCATCGCGGCGCATAAAACTTTGGTGCGCATGTGTATCTGGACCATAAAAGTGGTCTGGTCAACTATGAGATTATTTGGTGTATTGCAGACCATGAGAAGATGGTGCACTCGCTGATCTGGACCTTAGATCTATTATAGTTAATAGAAAATAATCTAGTGTGAGCGTGTTCATTTGCGCACTCATTTATGACCATTGGATGCAGCATAAAGGAAGTGATGGATTCAGTGTGGTGAGCTCACGGTAGCTGAAAGAGCTTAGCCAATACCAGCACACAAGGAGGCTTGAATCCAGCGCGTGCAAGTGCATAGTAAGCACGTGGGCGCGCGTGGGAAACTATGTTGGCCTAATTCGACACTAGAAATTAAAACGGTCATAACTTAGTCATTTTAAATCGAAATTGGGTCATTCTTGAGCTCAAATTCAAGGATTTTTCGTCTTCTTTCCAATGGTACCAATTTCATTATCAGATTCCCATCCTACTAGGAGATATTTATGTTTTAGTGAGAAAGTGTCGGAAAACTATTTAAACCAATATGGAGTATTTAAAGGAAATTATTTCTGACATATTTAGTTGCACTAATTTGTGTAAATATAATAAATTAATAATTTGTTATGGAAGAAAGTGTATATATATATATATATATATATATATATATATATATATATATATATTCATCCTTCCATATATATATATATATATATATATATATATATATATATTCATCCTTCCATATATATATATATATATATATATATATATATGTATGTATGTATATATGTATGTATGTATATATGTATATTGATTTTAAATAATCAAGGATTATTAAAGAAGGTGTTAAACACATATATACATTAAATAACATATGTGTAGGTATATATATATATAAATCATTTAAGATGATTAATATTATCATTCTTATTTGGCATATCTTAATAGGCTGGTTGTTAAATTAATGATATGCGTATAATATGCATGTGATGGCTATGTATGATTTAGCGTATTGTTAATTTTAAAGTTAATTCATGGTTAAAGTGTGGGCATGGATGAATTGTCAAATGATTAAATATATTACCTAAATATTTGTATGAATAGAATACATATATGGAAAGTATGGATGAATTGCTAATTAAATGTATGAATAAATATACCTGTGGAGGCATGGTTGAATTGCCAATGTATAAATATACATACACGGAGGCATGGTTGAATTGCCAATGTATAAATAAATATACTTATGGAGGCATGGTTGAATTGCCAATATATAAATAAAAATATTTACAATGGCATGGTTGATTTGCCAAAGTATAATTACGTTGTTATGTGTTAGATGATTAAAATATCATCTATGGTTATTGTATGTATGGATTGGATTAGGGTTAGATATTCTTAAATGAGAATAGTTTAGTACTTACTGGTTAGTGTATTATTTTACATTAATAAAATAATATTGGGGAAGACGTGGATGATTTGTCAAAACTTGAATTTTGGATATGTGATTTAAACAATTAAAATCATTATCGGGTTGGGATTAAATAGAGTATTTCTTTTATTATAATTTGTTGTTTAAATGATTAAACAACTGACTAGGATGGGATTAAGGTCAAAGGAGTTTTTATAAAATGAAATGGTAGATTGGTCTAGGTATGAATATTATTTTAATAATTATTTAATAGGTATGGAAATTTAATAAACCTATTAATGGATGTGATTAGTATAGTATATATAATTATATATAGACATGTATATCGTGCTTTATTAAAGTTAAAACTTTATTAGGTTTGATTTTGATCAGAGATGATCTGCTTATTGGTTTTCAGAGGCCTGGTAGAGTGAACTTGCTCGTAGGGTTTAACCCACGATTTATTTTTCAGGTTATTAGAGGTTCCAGTCTCGAGGTTAAGGATCCGCAGCTGGGAGACTGTCATTCGTCTATTCATCTTGTGTACTTTTAAATAGTATTGGATTATTGGATAATGTTTTAAGGGGTCCTTGAGTTATGGGATTTCCGAATTGTAATTGTTGGAGAATCATTAAGTAATATTTATTTATTAGTTTTCTTCAGCGGTTTATTTATTCTTTATTATTCATCTTTGTATTCTGTGCTTGTTAAATACTTAAATTATTTTGATATCCCTTGATTTTGTGCGCGGACTTGATCAATCCGTGTTCCAAAATTAGGGGGTATTACAATATATATATATATTGTCTGTACACAAGCACGCACATATATCATCACCACCACAAATCACGCACACACATATATCATCACTAACACAAATCAGCCTCGCTGTCGCATCATCATCATCTCTCAACATCATCATCATCATCAATTCATCACGGTGACGAGTAAGGATTCGACGACCATGACGATGCAGCATTGGTGAATAGTGAGCTTTCCAAGCTAAAAATCATTGTTTGGTGGCAAGTTCACTCTGGTGGTATCGAAGGAAATCTAGGAGATCGGCACTCAATTCCATGAGTTCAATGCACAAAATGGATTGAATTTGTTTTAGGAAAAAAAAAATGGATTGAATTTGATCTCTCTCTCTCTATATATATATATATATATATATATATATATATATATATAATGGATGGACTGGTTTTCCTTTGGTATACTGGCACGTCAATACAGAAATTGGATTGAGTTTGATCTGTGTATATATTTATATATACACGCACAAAAATGGATCGAGTTTATATATATATGGGTAAAGTGCAATAAACCCCCTGATCTATCAGCCAATTTCACAAAACCCCCCTGAATTAAGAATCACCCCCCTCAACTATTAAAAAAGTGCAGTCAAGGACAAAATGTCAAGTTGTCGTTGACAAAAAATGACTTTTACGTTTTTGCCCTTAATTAAAGGCCACCGTTTTGTTATGTTACAAATTTCAGATGCTGATGTGGCCCTTGCAATCCCCACAACCAATAAAAAATGCACGACACAACATTCTTATCAACAAAGTAAGTTTCATTTTTGCCATATCACCAAACAAAGTACTTGTGCCAAACAACTCCTCAGCGCAAATCCTTCTAAATGACTCTCTCCAATCACGGCCGCCACCTCTCATCTGTCTTTTATTTCTCTCCCTGATCCACCTCCAACTCCGGCAACAATAGAAATTGAAGAAGATAACAATGATCAGTGAACAAGGTGAAGAGGTGAAATTTCTGTTCGGAGCCACAAATTATTCAACACAAAATGAACAAGAACGATTAAGAGGCCAAAGTCTTCTAGCCTGGCTGGTAAGATGTCTCCCGTTGGCTCTTGGAGCGCATGGGTTCGAATTTTGGCACCAACTAACCCCTAACATTTACCCTTCAAAAAAAAAAAAAAAAAGAACGATTAAGAGGACGAAGATGAATTCGACAGTCAGATCCAACCTATTTTCTGATCTTCAACTGTGATTGGCTTAAAGGTTATGCTGGAAGTGAAAATTCTACTCCTTTTGCAGCCATTCGGCTCTTCTCCACATTCAATTGTTCCAATTCTAATAGTTAATTCAACCATTAGGTGTTTTTTTTTTTTTTTTTGGTGATAAATTTCATTGTTTTTTTCATGGAATTTGTATTGAAATTAAGAAGTTAGGGTTTTGGCTTTTTGCATATTACACGAAACTATCGAATTAGATTCTTGATTTTTTCTATTGAAATTAGTGTTTTGATTTTGTTTGAATGGCGGTGGTAGAAAGAATTGCAGAGTGAGAGAATTGTTAGGGTTACCAACTTACCAAATGGAACGAAGGTTAGTGGTAGGATACCAATTAAAAACGGGTAAACCCTACGGGTATGGGTTAACCCATTATGTATAAGTATGCCCTAAATGTCATAAGGGCAATATTGTCTTTTAAAAAAAATTGGTTGATCACATGACCGAAACAGTAGCAGCTTGGGGCATTTTGCAAAAAAAAAAAAATGTTTAGGGGATTAACTGTCAAAATAGTAGTTAAAGTGGGTTTTTTGGGAGAGAGAAGATAGTTTTGAGGGGTTTATTGCACTTTACCCTATATATATATATATATATCTAGTTATATATACTAAATAGAAAGCAAAATGGGTTTGACGAAGCTTTCGTGTCTAGGTTGGGATGGTGGTGACTGTTGTGTGTCTAAACATAGAGAGAGATGAAAAGAGTAATTTAGTCATTTAAGTATTTTGATATTTTATAATTAAAATTAATAGGATAAAAGAGACTTTTTACATGGTTTAAGACTATGTTTGAATGACAAATTTAATAAGTGAGTGTGATTGTCCAAAAATAAGTAAACTTTTTTCTGCAAATCTCTACCCCCAAACCTCTCTGTACTTTACCCAATTTTCAAGTTATTTATATACATACACGGTCTATACACATTACACACAGAGATATATATATACATAGACACATATATATATACACACATTACACACGGAGACATATATATACACACACACACACACAGACATCCTCCACCACCATCACCCACACAATCCCAATCCCAACCCAACACCCATGAGAGAATTGGTTCCTTAACTTCTCACCGGAATCTGCAACTCTCCACCGCCAAAGCCCTCTGTTTCTTCTTGGAATCTGCAACTCTTACAATTCTATTGTCAAAGTTAATGGTTTCTTCTAATATCATCGATTCTAAGAGAAATGCAAAAATAACAAATTCCAAAACCTTAATTTTATTTCTTAACTAATGAAATATATAAAACTTGCATAGAATATATCAATCACCCATTTAACGAAATTTCGGTTGCATATAGCCTCGGTTACATGCTATGGATCTTTGTTTTCAACCTCAATTACAGTCAATCCCATCTTGAGAAGTTCAAATTCAACAGACCCACAATCTCTTACAGTCTCTAACCTGTTAAACTAGTGTGGGTTGTCCTTAGACTGTCTTGAACCTTTTGAAAACCCATGGCTTAACAGATACCCATATAAAAAATCTGATAATAAATCGTCCTCGAATACTTCTAGCTGATCCACACAAAACCCTCAAACCCAATATTGATTTGTTTGAATCTTTTGGACTTTCTGGCACTAACCTTGTCAAAGTGCTCAAAAGACATCCGCGTCTGCTTGAAACAGATGCACTTGCAGTTGTTGAACTTTTCAAAACTTATGGTTTCAGTGAAAAGCAAATTTCAAGCTTAACATGAAATGTCCAGCTTTATTTTTCTTAAATGCACATAAAAACCTTAAGCCAAAGTTGGAAATCTTTAGGCTTTCAGAAGAAATTGCCATTGTTACACGCGCGCGCACATATATATTTACCTATTGTAATATATATATATTTAGGGGTATAATGATTGTTTAAGTAATTTAATATTTTGAAATAAATAAAATTAAAAAATTAAGGATAAAGTTGTATTTTTTTATTCTTTAATGAAAATTTTAACAGAAAAATAAAAATTTCTAAAAATATCTTAAAGTGATATTTAGTCAAATTTTGAAATTAACGCAAAGCTTATTCTTACAACTTTACATGCCAAAAGTACGAGACATAAATAAAGTCCAACAACAGTATTTACCCCCAAAAAGAGAAATAAAACAAAGGCCTGCAACTGTAAGCTGCAAGCCTTTATTAAATTAACCAACGTACACTCAGACAACAATTTCATATGTCAGAAGACCTTTCAATTTTTAGAGCCTTATGCGACACTAGTCTAGCCTCACAGTCCTTAATCACCTCACATAATGAATTGTAAGAGCACCCATCTTTCTTCAATGCTTTTTCTGCATTATATTTTATTTCTTTCATTTTCTCTCTCATCACCTTCCCTTCTTTGCACTCAATCACAGTCCTCACCATCTTCTCAATCTCCTCCCTCCCCACTACCTCCTTCGTCGGCAACACCCTCGGCCGGACCGCCACCCCGAGCTCCTCCGTCAGCACGGTAGCATTCAATCTCTGCTCAGAATACAGTGGCCACGCAATCAGAGGCACCCCATTCACTATGCTCTCCAAACTCGAATTCCAACCACAGTGTGATAAAAACCCTCCTAGTGATGGATGGCTCAGGACCTCCACCTGTGGGGCCCAAAGTGGGACCACAACTCCCACATTTTGGGTCCTGGTCAAGAACCCATCTGGGAGATAATCAGGGGTTCCATCAGAAGAACCGTTCCTTGATGTGAAAAAGGCCGCATCCGCACTACCCTCGATGGGTGGCCGTAACACCCAAATAAACCTCTGCCGGCTCAGCTCCAATCCCCAAGCCAGCTCAGTCACTTGTTCAGCCGACAACGTCCCACCACTTCCAAACGAAACATATATCACTGACTCGCTGGGTTGCAAGTCGAGCCACTTGGAAAACTCGGCCTGCGAACCGGAATCTTGGACCGGCCTGGTCAAAGGACCGACCGGATAAACCGGTACCTTAACAACCGACCGGAGGGTTTCATCTTCTCTTAAAGCTCTTAGTGTTGTACGTTCCAGATCATCCCACGTGTTCACCAAAACCCCATGGGACGCCGAGAACTCAATACCAATCCGTACGTACTCACGATACATCTGATCATTCCGGTCCAGCATCGGGTCGACAACATCTTCCGGTCGGACCGGCCTGCAACCGGGAAGTCTCAGCGGTTCGCTCTGATCAACGTACTGACCTTTCACCTCCTTGTCGAGTACGTGACAGTAGGAGGTGAGAGCAGTGAACCATGCAGTGGTGGGACAGTATACGTACTTAGGCATGTTGAACTCGTCGGCGATCTCCAAAGATTCGGTTCCGAAGAGGTCAACGATAAGAGCGTCAGGCTTGCGGTTCATGGAGGATATGGAGGACCGGATGACCGGTCGAGCCTCGCGCATCATTACTGCGAGCTGGGTAACGACAGTGGCGGCAGGGTCGAGTAGACCGGAGATGTCAACTGGCGGGAGGTGAATGAGGTGGAGCATTTTGGGAGCGGTGGGGAGGTGGAGAAGCTGAGATTCAGGAGGTGATGAACCGGTGGTGACAAGGACGATGGTGACTTCAATATCGTGGTGGGTGACGAGGCGTTGGCCGAGCATGAGGACGGGGATGAGGTGGCCCATGCCGGGACTTGACAGTATAGCAAAATGGAGCTTTGAGCTGTCCATGGCTGCAACTTAAAAGAGAGAAAAAGAAAGAGAGGAAATGAATGCAGGGATATTGTTGATGCTATATGCCTATATATATATATATATATATACACTCACACAACCACACAAAGACCCATAGAGTTTTTACTTTTATCGTACTCATATTGTATTTTGGATGCAGTGAAAGATAGATCCTCGGCAGATTCATGTTGGATAGCACTGTGCTGGAAGGGTTTTAGTTCCTCAAAATTGTGTTTATGTTGTAATCTTGTCAATTCTTTTAACCAAATCCTTTTCAACTGTTAACTTTTTACAAATAACTCGCTTTAATTAAGACTTGCGTCCTTAAACTATTGATCTGGTACAATTTAAGATAATACGGTAGATCGAAAAAATTAAAAGACGCATTTATCCTAATTTAAAACTACTTAATTTGTAAAGTTATACACTTGATCGAGTTGATACGTGACTGCTAACAATCTCAACGGCCAATCAAAATGAGATAACTCAACCAACTATTTTGACAACTCACCCAACCTTTATCACAGACCCGTTAAAAAAAAAAAAAAAAAAATTTAAATACAGATGAGTTACAACTTTTAGTATCAGAGAAGAGAAGAATACAGTGGCAATCAGAAGAATATTGAAGTTATTCTTTTATATATATAACAGGGTTCGGTTGCGAAACTGTGTGTGTATATTATATATATATATATATATATATATTGAATGCGTGGGAAGGGAATTTTTTGTACTTTAGTCTTTAATTTATCCGGTTCTATATGAATTTGAGAACAACTCCATTAAATAAATTTTACCTATTTATTTAATTATGTCATGTCAATCCATTTTAACATATTTAATTAAATTAAATGTAGGAAATCAATTCGTTTGAGTTTAATTAAATGAATAAAAAAAGAGATTTTTGTCAGTGGTATTATTATGAAACTGACGTAAATTAAGTGTAGTTTTTTTTTTTTCGAAAAGTAGTTACTTTTATAAATTATTAAGATGAAAAGCTGTTTAATATATTTGTCAATGGTATTATTATGAAACTCAAGTAAATTAAGGGGTTGCAACATCCATTTAATATTAAACTGCTTATAAAATTGATCATCTTATTTTGGAAAATTAGGAAACTTAAGTGCTGTTTGATAAAACTGAACATGAAGCACTGAAAATTTTAAGTATTAAATTTTAAGCGCTGAAATTTTAAGTACTGAATTTATTGATCTATAAACTTGTTTGATATTGTACTAATTTTAAGCGCTGAATTCGTTTAGATTGTTTATTAAATGCAAAAACTAAAATTTGATTGTTGTATATATTACACTTTTGCCTTGAGTATCTTCTACACATAATATTATTATAAAAAATACTATATTAAAACATAAACATATATATAAAATAATAAATTTCACCAAAGAAATATATCAGATATTAATGTCAAAACTGATCATAAAAATTTCAAATTCAACATATAAAATGAATAACTTAAGAAAATGAAATATTTATGAGAAAGAGATTAGAATTCACGCACAAATCATTCGATTTTTATTTATATAGTAGATTTACATCATAACAATGGTGTGAGGGTTTCATTGCATGATTATTAATTATAAACTTGAGTGAACCATGCTGTGTGTGTGTATATATATATATATATATATATATATATATTGTTGAATATTATTTATATTTACGTTATTTGAGAAGAAAAGTACAATGAAACATTTGAAAAATTGGAGTAAAAAAAAATCATCAATGGAAATGCAAAGTGGAAATATAAAGTGACGGACAACCTAAAAGTATAATATTTGAGAGTAATATTATCATTAATAAAATATTTTAAAACCTAAAATCACTTATCGTCTTTTGCGATAAGCGTTAAGCAAGGTGGGTGACACTTAAAAATTTGGTATGTTTTAAGCTACTGCGTAATATTTGAAGTAACATAAATGTTATCAAACACGCTAATTTAAAAAATTCGCTTACCGTATCACTGAATAGCGATATCTAACAAGTCCTTAGTCCCAAATTCATTTAATTTAATTGGTGTGTTGATAAAGGGAAAAATGAATGATGAGGGTAGGTGCACGTGCACTGCACATGCAGTGAATTATCATAAATTTGTTAAACTTTTAGTTAGGCATTTGGCAAAGTGAAGTCGTTGACCCACGACACTTGCTAAATTATCATAAATTTGTTAAACTTTTAGTTAGGCATTTGGCAAAGTGAAGTCGTTGACCCACGACACTTGCTAAAGTACCTGCATTATATCATATCATATCATATCATATGATACCATCTGCACTAAAGTTTTAAATTGTTATTAGAGATGTAACAAAAAATAATGATAAAATAATTAACAGATCAACTATTCATTTATTTATTTATTTATTATTATTATGTTATTTAAAGTTAAGCAAAAAAAGATGTGAGTTGTGACAATTTTCTTTGAAAAGACAGTGATGCCAATGGATTATGCTACTTGTCTTCACGACTCTGTTCATCACGTGATAATTTTGTGACAATCATCACAATCTAATATAATAGTAGTGTATATATAGATGATGAATGACTTTGTGTTTGGTGACCCAATTCGTGTGGATGATCCTTTTGGTTGCACCTTGATTCTCCCTCAGTGGTTCAGCTTTCGTTTAGATTTTATTTTATTTTATTTTATTTATTTATTTCTTCCTTCGTCGAGATGAATCTTCTTTCTAGCTGGTTCAAATTTGTTGTATCCTTTTTTCTGTAGGTTTCACTTATAAAACAATTCCCAAAGAGTTACAAAATATAAAATCGTTTTAAATAAATATAAAAGACAATTTTTAAAAAACTGATTTTTAGACTTAGCTTTGAAAAAATAATTTTAAAAAACTCAACCAAGTTAACCTATTTATTTTTTGGATAAAGTACAATTACACCCCTGAGATTTGCCAAAAGAATACTCAGATAAAACTTACCTATTTTTTGGACAAAAATACCCCCTAAAGGTTCAAAAATGGACAAAGACACCCCTTTACATGAGAAATTGACCAAATTACCCTTTAACCGTTTAAAAGACTTTTTTAACTTTACAATTTAATAAATTTGACCAATCTACCCTCATGAACAATTTATGCTTAAAAAAAAGTAACAAAAAAAAAAACTTTATATTGTTCACTTTTTTTTTATTATTTACTTTATAAATGTCCCAACTTCTTAAAAATGTAGACGTCTAAAATGATTTTTTGATCTAATACATATATTTCAAATAAATTATATTTTGTTATTACTTCTTTTCTTTTTCTTTTTTTTTATTTTTAAATTAAGATACTCAATTCTTTCATCTAAAAAAATTAAACCAATCCATTTTCCTTAAAAATAAAAAATATGGTACCAATATAACTTTATGTATCTTAAATTATATATCAAATATTATGCATTTCCCAACATAAAAGGGAAAAAAATAATTAAAAAAAACAAAGGCATGCATAAAGTTATACTAGTACCTATTTTCTTTTATGTTGGGAAATGCATAATTTTTGATCTATAATTTAAGATACATAAAGTTATACTGGTACCATATTTTTTATTTTTTAGGAAAAGAGATTGGTTTAATTATTTTAGATGAAAGAATTAAACATCTTAATTTAAAAATAAAAAAGAAAAAGAAAAAAAAAAAAGAAAAGAAGTAATAACAAAATATAATTTATTTGAAATATATGTATTGAATCAAAAAATCATTTTAGACGTCTACATTTTTTAAATGTTAGGACATTTATAAAGTAAATAAAAATAAAAAATAAAAAAGTGAACAATATAAAGTTTTTTTTTTTTACTTTTTTTTATGCATAAATTATTCACGAGGGTAGATTGGTCTGATTTATTAAATTGTAAAATTTAATAAATTTCTAAACTGTCAAAAGGTAATTTGGTCAATTTTTCATGTAAAGGGATGTCTTTGTCAATTTTTGAACCTTCAAGGGTGTTTTTGTCCAAAAAATAGGTGAATTTCCTCTGAGTGTCCTTTTGTCAAACCTTAGGGGGTGTGACTGTACTTTACCCTAATTTTTTTAAGTGATAAACCAAGTAGATTCGATTCTAATTTTTTTTTTCTTTTTAAAGGAGAGATTGAGTTCGATCAATTTTTACGTGAATAGGAATATCATTTATATATGAAACTGCAAATTTTAGTCGAATGTGTTTGATTCTTGAACTATTTATCATTATTCTAATAGAATACATGATTATAAGTACTTTCCTTCGAAAGTCGAATATTTTATATACGTGAGAATGATACCATTATGATGTTGTTAAATATAATGATATCATTATAACGTCATCTCTTGCATAATTTTAAACGGATGTTTGACTCTCGAACTATTTATTATTAAGCAAGTATAATGACTAAAGCAATTCGAAACTCAAACTCGATCTGCGTTAATATTCTAATATAATAAAGAATGATAAGTAATTGCATTCTCGAATTTTGTATTATTACCCTATAATTATGAATAATGATAAACATTTGGAATCTCAAATTTTGTATTTTTACTCTACAATAATAAATAATGATAAATATTTTAAAAGCGCGCTTGATATATTTAAATATTTTATCTGAATAAATATAATTTAATTATGATATCATTAGGTACGATAATATTATCATGATTGAGTAGTGGGCTGAAACAGGCACTATCTCACTGCCAATATTGAACCACTTTATTAAAAAGTATCTGACTTCAATGATGTGGCATATCATGATACTGTCCCCTGTATTATTATTATTATTATTATTTTTTAATATCTGTCCATATGGCTTGACAAAATTCATTGCTTTTCAGTGCCCTACTTACACGAGACACTGAATCACTCAAGAGGCATCCAAATCTCTTGGAAAAGACACTTCTGTTTCGCATACTTTGTTTTAGGCTTTGTATTTTTTGTTAAAATAGAAATAGTATTTTTGTTATAGAAGTACTGTAAAAAAAAATTCAAAGTAAGTTTAAAAATGATATGATTTTGGATCAGAGGTCAAAATAAGAAAAAAATAACTTTTTAGTGTTTTAATTTTAGGCCATTATTTAAGAAGTGTTTTAGAACTATATAAAATAAAATAAGCCTGTGCCAAATATGTTTGTGTTGCCAAAATCAAAACTGTGGCAACCCAAAAATAAAAACACCACACATGCCAAACCGGCCTAAAAGAATAGAGATCAGGACACGATGAAATTATCATATTTAATGAAATAGTAACACATAAATAGATGTATTAAATCTGTCATTCTTTGATAACTTTTTAAAAGGTCAAAAGAAAAAGCTATGGCCGTAATAACTTTGTATGTACTAACTTTTGGAAAAGAAGGGAATAAAAAAAAATGTTACATATTGAATTTGAACTCTAATTTGAATTTGAATTTTGCAATAATTTTCTCACTAATTTAGAATCTTGAGCGGAATGTTTGTCGTTATATCTTAAATTATATTGAATTCTATTTTTCTAATAAATAATTACAAAAACATTTAACCGTGTTCAATTAAAAAAATAAAATATTTAAATTTTAGATCACTTCTAGCCAAGGACGAAACCAATGTAGCTCAGGCCTACCCTAGCCTAGCCCACCCAATATCTATTTGTACACTTTTTTATGTGCATATGTATGAGAAATTTTACAAAATGCTACCTCTATAAATTTCAATTTCTATAATTATTTCATTCTTTTACTCTCTTTTTTTTTTTTGGGTAAATAAGTGAGCTATATATTAAGGAGAAATCAGAATATACAAGTAAAATTTGGGGCATGTACCCCAAAGAGCATTATGGGCCAGTGCTAAGAGAAAACACAAATAAACAAAAGAAAAGAAAAACAATCAGCTAATTATATCACATGGTCAAAGGCCCATAAAACTTTTCCACATTGTCCAATCACGGACCCAAACCAGAAGGCCCAATGTGGTCACCAGATAAATGCCTCCTCTTACCCATAAAACCTGGACGGGGAACACATCAGCAAATAGAGAAGGTCCGTTGCAGGTAGAATATAATGACAGAAAAGGTTATTTCCTTGTTGGAATTTAGATAAGTTTTAAGTCTTCTTATTAATTTAATTTATTTTATTTCTTTAATTTTGAATTTGAAAAATTCTATAATTTAAGAGTTAATAGACTTTATGAGTCATAAATATTGGTTTTTTTATTATTATTTTAAATAGTTATGATGGTTAGTTTGGTAATCGTGGGCCTATTTATTTTGTCCCTTATGTTTTTTGAATTTAAAGCATAAGCCTTATTTGTCTATAAATAGATAAATAGAGCTTAACCCAGGAGAGCCCATTTGACCGATAGACATACAAACTTGCTTTCTGCAATATTGACTCTTCCTCAAATTTATTCTATATTATAATATAAGTCTGCCTATATATTTGCATGCGACTAAAAAAATATACACAACTACAATATTTCTATTAATTTAATTTTTGCAAAACTTACCTTTCTTGTCAACTATATTTTTATTGAGTTTATTGTAATTTCCATTGAAGTAAATTAGTGCATAAATTATTTTTTTCCATAACAGCATATACATCATATATGAATGCAAGTCAACATTTAGTCAACGGGGCAACATGGTCATTTAGCCAAAGGGGGCAACATAGTCATTTTGTATGTAAAAAGTTTACACCCATGAGAAATGACATTTGGAGTAAATGAAATATGAATCAACTTTTTAAAATATGAGTAAAAGTTAAGATCAAAATATCTATGTAGTTGAAATTTGACATAACAGCATCATTGTAATTTATCCAAAATAATAATAATAAGGGAAAAAGATTTGTAAAAAACAAAAAGCCCACTTCATTGAGACTTCAATTTCAGGACTCACACCTCTTTTAATTAGTATTGTGAGCCAACCTTGGCCTTCTTTGACTCCAGTCTCACCTCACAGTCCTTAATCACCTCGCATAATGAGTTATAGGAAGAACCGTCTTTCTTCAAAGCTTTCTCTGCACTATATTTTAGTTCTTTCATTTTCTCTCTCATCACCTTCCCTTCTTTGCTCTCCATCACACTCCTCACCATCCGCTCTATCTCCTCCCTCCTTACTACCTCCTTTGCCGGTGACACCCTCGGCCGGACCGCCACGCGCATCTCCTCCGTAAGCATGGTAGCATTCAGTCTCTGCTCAGCATAGAGTGGCCATGCAATCATAGGCACCCCATGCACTATGCTCTCCAAATTTGAATTCCAACCACAGTGTGATAGAAAACCCCCTATTGATGGATGGCTCAAGATCTCCACTTGTGGGGCCCAATGTGGGACTACAACTCCCACATTGTGGGCCCTGGTCAAGAACCCATCTGGTAGGTAGTCAGGGGTCCCATCTTCCGATCCGTTCCTTGATGCATCCGCACTACCCTCTATGGGTGGGCGTACCACCCAAACAAACCTCTGCCGGCTCAGCTCCAAACCCCAAGCCAACTCAGTCATTTGCTCAGCCGACAACAACCCACCACTCCCAAACGAAACATATATAACTGACTCGCCGGGTTGCATGTGGAGCCACTTGGACAACTCGCTCGGCGAACCGGAAGATTGGACCGGCCTCGTCAAAGGCCCGACTGCATAAACCGGTACCTTAACAACCGACTGGAGGGTTTCATTTTGTCGTAAAGCTCTCAGCGTTGAACACTCCAGATCATTCCACGTGTTGATTAAAATTCCATCGGACTGCGAAAACTCAATCCCCATCCGTACGTACTCGCGATACGTCTGATCATTCCGGTCCAGCATCGGCTCGACAACATCTTCCGGTCGGACCGGGGTGCAACCCGGAACTGCCAGCGGGTCGCTTTGGTCAACGTACTGACCCTTCAGCTCCTTATCAAATACGGGACAGTAGAAGGTGAGAGCAGTGAACCATGCAGTGCTGGGGATGTATACGTACTTGGGCATATCGAACTCGTCGGCAATCACAAAAGATTCGGTTCCCAAGAGGTCAACGATGAGGGCGTCGGGACGGCGGTTCATGGAGGAGATGGTGGACCTGATAGCCGGTCGAGCCTCGCGCATCATAACTACGATCTGGGTAACGTAAGTGGCACCCGGGTCGAGTAGACCGGAGATATCCAGTGGCGGGAGATATATGACGTGGAGTGTTTTCGCAACGTTAGGGAGGTGGAGAATCTGAGATTGGGATGGCCATGAGTGGGTGGTGACGACAAGGACGGTGACTTGGATGTGGTGGTGGGTGACAAGGCGTTCGGCGAGCATGAGTTCTGGGATGAGATGGCCCATGCCGGGGCATGCCACTATAGCAAAATGGAGCTTTGAGCTATCCATTGATTGAATTAATTGAGAGAGAGAGAGACACCACCCCTTAGGATCAATGAGCTTTTTGTGGCCTCCACGTGAGATTGTGTATTGCCTTATCCGCAGATAAAGTATTGTTTGGAGCACTGCCATTCAATTTTTTTTTTGACTTTTTTTATTCACTTATTTTGTGTTGAATTGTAATATTTCAAGTAAAATAACTATTTTTAAATAGTAATAAATATCTATATTATTTACCCTATAAATACTAATTCTCATTTTTAATAATTTTCATCTATAATAATTATCTGTCTCAATATTTTTTTTTTAACATTCATACCTCCATTCTATCACCCCATCTCAACTAATTTCATAACTTCAAATTACCACCGCAATTCGATTTTAATTTTTAAAACTAGTTGTTGAGAATATAGTCGTTGGGAAGAAGGCAAAAAATTATTAAATTCAAATTCAAATTTTTTATTTTATTTTTAAATTAAATTAATAAAATAATAAATACAGAATGAAATAATTATATTTTACATCAGGAAATATATGGATAAAAAAAATAGAATATTACATTATTACTTTTTAACTCATGTAGCATTCTATTTTTTCAAAAATAAACAAAAAAATTTGTATGTCCACACCAACTGCTCTTTTCCACTCAAGTGTAAAGACGTCTTCGTATATCAGTGATGGGACGAGGTTCTACTCCCAATGAATAATAAGCAAGTCTGGTTCATTTCAATATATATATATATATATATATATATAATGAGGCCGTTTTATATTTAGTTTTTTAAATAAAAAATTGTCACGCACAAGTTTGAGGTTACTGTTGAAATAGAAAAAACATTTTTGTCAATAGAGTTTGTAAAAAATTGCTATTAGGAAAAACCATATTAAGTGTTTGTTCACATATTATAATAACTACTTTTTATAATTAAATTATTTTTTATTTATTTTGGTAACAAATTATTTTTAAATACTTTTTAATTTTACAATAATATTTTTTAATATGATGTTATCATAATAACAACTTTATTAATGAAGGATGTAATTATCATTATAAAAAATAAAATAGATAAAATAAAAAGAGTTATATAAAATATTCAACCCCTACTCCAAAAACAATTTTATAAACTACAAATTCTAACTTCATTTAAGGACTTTACTAAACTAAATTTAATAACTATTTATAATGATTATTAAACACGTCTAAACATAATTTTTTAAATTAAAAATACTTTTAAGTAGTAAAGAGATAATAAAAAATGGCTCCAAAAACTGAAGGTATAAAAACGCGAGCTATGTGTCCGCAAGTGTAAGGAAAATGCCAATTTTCTTTGTTTTTTTTTTTTTTAAAAAAAAATTTCTTTTGATTTCCTCGTTATAGATAATGCTTCTTTTTTTAATATTTAACACTTCCTTTAATGTCAAATGTCAATAAAATTACATTAACGTACATCTGAATCACCCATAAACAATATCTCGAGTCACATGTTAATATTCTACAGCCGTCAAACTGGACTTTACCTAGTTTTATATTAGTTTTCATACCCACTTTCAGGTGATTAATTTTTTACATCTAAAATGTTTAGCCATTTATAATTTTTTTTTTTCTTTTTTCAGATCGATTACAGAAGTTAAGACTTAAATACATCAAATATATATATAAGGTCATTTTGCTTTCATTTTCATTGATTATACTGTACATATAATTCTTTCAAATGGAAATTTTTAGTGTATGAGAGGTTTTATTTTCTTGTAAACTTGAAAGAGTTATAAAACTTATTAGTACTGTATTAAGTTTTAAACTTGATTTTGCAAGAGTACGCAATGTATAAAATTAATTACAATCGTTTTGTTTTGTTTTTTGTTTTTTTTTAATATATATATATATACACAAAATAAAATAAAATAAAATAAACCATGCCCACGCCCACTTACAATCTTGAAAGATTTAGAAATACACGTTTACACTCTATAATAAACAAACAAACTCGAAGGGTGACCTGTGCACCGAAACAATTCCATTTCAAACGCTTCAAGATCCCCTCCACACAAGAGGGGATCCTTATTTTAGTCGGACAATCTTTAAGTTTTTAAGTTTTGTTGTGCTCAGAAGTAATTTAATGTGAAACTACTTAAAGAACAATTTAAATTTTCAATGTGGAGATTGATGGTAACCTGACTTTCTAATATGATTTTCAAATTCGAGATTATAAATTAAAAGAAGGATTGGACTTAAGTTGAGTAGTTGGAATTAAATATCGGGTTAGGGTTTAACATTTCATATGTTAAGTTGGGCCAAAAATGTACCTTCAACCCATCCGAGTTACACCTTAGGCACAAATTAGTATTTTTCTTTAGAATGATTACTTGAAAATGGGGATTCAAGAAATCCTACCATATGTTAGAAAGTTCTCATTAGACTGGAGCAAAATGGTTGGTGACTTTTTTGTTTTCTGGCAAATTAACAGGAAGGGAATTCGAACAAGAACATATCCGCTCGATGAGTTAAATGCTCTATCAATTAGTCCGAGGTACTGTACAGTTGGTGACGCATTTGGGGAGGAGCAAAATCAAGAATCTTTATATTGAATTCCTCATCCAATCAATTTTTATAAGAAATGAAATTGATAATTCCACTAACGGTATCATAGTTCTTTAACAAATGACCAAACACAAAACAATATAAACTCCTACAGAACCTAAATTACTGTACCAGTGTTGGATAAAGATGTCTCATGAATTGAGCTAGAGTCGATAGTTTCTCAATTTCAATCCCAAAATAAATCTATACATAATCTTCAGAAATGTGCATTTTTGTCTTAATTGTTTTACGCAAACTAATAATAAAAATAAATTAGAAGTTCTTGTTCCATGTCATATCTGGGTGGAGGGCATAAGAATGCCCCAATATCTAACCGCTTAATTTTTTTTTGAGTTAAATGACAAAGTTCCAACTTGTTACTATAAGCTACCACCCTACCATTACAATCACCAACACCGCATTATCACTAGCCATTTCAAAATCTCTACGACTAGCTAGCTAACTATAAACATCAGTACAGCTACCCCAACTTACCATCATGGTCTTTCTTTTTCTTTTCTTTTTTTATCATAGTTTGGAAATTGTAAAATTAAGAAGGGTGGTTGTTCGGTGTAATAGTAATTGACACGATTGATAAATTTGTAGACAAAATATATATATATATTGTGAATGTGAAGGAAAAACAATATTTTTTTGTTGCAAAATTTTGCCAATATCTCTATTCATTTTTACTTCCTTTTTAGTGAAACTAATCATGATTGGGCTATATTTTAAAGTTGTTTTTTGTTTTTAACCAGACACGAAATATACTAACACTCTTTACTCGAGCTAGGGTCGAAGCACTCCCCTCCTTTTTTAAGGGTGAATGGGTTATTCCTTGAGTAAAGTGGGTCATTAATTATTCATAAAACCAAGCCTTCTCCACTGTCCCAGCCATATGTGAGATTTGCAGGCGCCAATTAACGTCATACTAAAAACTTGGTTGCTTGTAATAGGCGCATTTAAACCGTGCGTGTAATACACGCACAGTAATAAACGGTTGGATACACCTGTTGCACGACACAACGACGTAACCAAGTTTTTTCCGAGGAACGATTACCCTGGGCCACAATGATCCATTAACTTCTATTGTTATATTTGTATAACGATTATTTTTTGGAGGTCCTGAACTCTTACAATGCTACTGAAAAATTTTGAACCCTCCATCACGAAAACAAATGCGTCCTTTTAAGTTTCTGCTATATTCAGAAATGAGCTTCTAACCCCCAATAGATATAATCATCAGATTAACTAATAAAGTGTATTAAGATATATAAATCAAGAGAAGGTCAAATGCTTCCATATTTTGCTCTTGGACTACATTTCATTTCATCATCATTACCACAATTTACTAACCTGACTTCCTTTCATTTTCTTTAATATTTGATTTTTTTCCATTTCAATTTTGATGCAATTGATCTCATCTTGACTTGTTGCATCTTTAATCATGTCACAACTTAGAGGTGAAGTGTTAGACTAGTTTGTGCAGTTTTGCACACATCTGACGAGAGATCAAGGGCAAACTCTTATTTCTCAAGACCTTTTAATGATCTCAGTTGTCATGACAAGGAAGACCACCTTGAAGCCTTGAAGGGCTACAGCAATTTGGGAGCTCTAGTGATGAGCCAAAATATTTCATGTTAGGGCTTCACAAGTTATATGACTTGGCGAATGTGCGTTGCCCGAGTGGTTGGGCTGCTACTCTGTCTAGGAGCCCATATTCGAGTCTTGCACCCTCCCCTCTAACATGGTAGGGCCAAATCATATCTTATTCGACAGGGTTATGGTATTCAGATATATTGGAGTTCTCTTCTTCTTCTTTTTTTCTCCCTTTTCTAAGACTTGTAATTAAAAATTTCCTGTTAAATTCTTTCTCTGTGGTGTCCAGTTTTGCCTGGACAAATGATCAATCTTACATGTATACTGAAACCTTTTAGTCTAGCCTCCAGTACAAGCTCCAAAAAGCAATTAAGAATTGAGTTGGATTACAATCATTTGGTGGTAAAATTGTAATTTTCAGTTATATTGTTCAACAGGGTTATTGATCTCTCTTGTACTTCTGTTAAACCTAAAGGCATCGTCATGTTTGATAAAACTTCCAAACAAAGGTTGAACAAACTTGCCAGGGCAAGATTGTATTTGTTATTTCACGGATTTCACATTTCTTAAAGCAAGAACTCAAAGTAGAAACAGGAAATAAGACAACAAGAAGAACAACAATAATAATGTTTTCAGAGTTTCAGTTCCAGAAATCTGGGAAACAGCTTTTAACAACTGTCGAGGATCTGTTGCGCATCAATTCAATTTCCTAAAGCAAAAGTGTGGTGGTGACAATTTCTTTTACCACTCTTGGCTAAAAGGGCGAATCCAGGAATTATTAATGAGAGGCGGAGGTAATATTAAACAAAGGGGAATTGGGGATAGAAAGATTAAAGAGTTGGAAAATTTTAGAGGAAATAAGGTTAGACTTTACAAGGAAAGAAGGAATGAGCTCTCTGATTTAATAATTTAGAAGTTCTCTTTGCTTTGGCTTAATGATTGTTTAGGGCTTGTTTGACTTGGGCCTTTATTTTAAAATTGTGGCTTAGATATTGGGTTTATTTGAATGGGTTAAAATTGGAGGGCTAATATTACTATTAATTTTTTCTTTTTTAAAAACAATAAATAAAATTTTTTGGGAAGGGGGGGGGGGGGGGGGGGGTGTTCAAGCCCACCCAAGCCCCACCCCCTTGGATCCGCCACTGCTGTTAGCATTCTCAATGAACTAGAACAAACTTACAAAATCAAAGATTGCAACATTTGCATATTAATGCATATACCAAATGTATATATCATATGTACGCTGTATTGAGACATTGCTTGTAGACTCCTTTTATATAAAGGTTCTAGATCACAGATTGAGAAAAAAGAAGAGAAACATCTGTTGATCTATGAAATTTATGCTAAGCACCTAAGCTCACACTTTTAGGAAAAAAATTGAAATTAATCTTTTCTAAGAGTTAAAAAAGACCATTCCCATGCATACTTAGTCTTAACCAGAAACTACCTATGTCCTATTAGCATCAAACTATACACTAACCTACTAAAAGAGGAACTCGGATCTTCTGCTGTATGGACGGCCCAGATCAAACCAAACAGGAGTCTGATTTTATCCGAGTCGTCAATTGCAGTGCAACATGGTGCAGTGTAAGGGTCCAGCCTAGAAAAAGAGAGGTGGGAGGGGGGTAATTTGGTCAAAGAATCTCACGAGAAAGTTGGGAAATTGAGGTAGGTTATTAAAATGGTTGGTACACTGCAACATCAAGCATGAGAGAGAGGTCACATGCATGCCCCATAAAATACATGTCACATGGGAAGGGACCCTCATGCAGGGCTTGTTCTAAGATGCTACTTTGACCAACAAAAAGCATCAAATTTTAGAAAGCAGTTGAATATGTGGCTGACAGACTCCTCCAAACAGCAAGAAATGTTGCCTTACTTGGGAAACTTCATTTCAATTTCCATTCACTTTTCCCTTCTCTGTTTTCTTGTGATTGATTGTCCACTGTCCACACATTTCTTCTTTCAACCATTCAATTCATGAGCCCACTCACTGCCCAAAAGCAAACTTAATCATAGAACACATCATCAACTATCTAGCAGATGAGCTTCATAATGAAAAAATGCAACATTCAAAAAAGTTTTCCAAGGGATGAAACCGACCTCCTTTGGGGCTATGGAAAAGAAAAAGATTTGTGCAATTTGACCGCATAATACAACATATAAATTTCGAAGTGCTTTCCAGCAAAATACCACCAAATTCTTATCCCCTTGAACATATATAGCACACAATCTCTATATTAGAAGCTTGTGAGACCATTTCAGTGACAATTTGAACAGCGTTTCATGATCATTGAAGGATCTAAATAAGAAGTTCAATGCATAAACGAGAGAAGAATGAAATGAACCTCCTGTGACTATTCATTCTTTGTGGCCAAATGAAACCTCCCTCAAAATTTCAACTTCATTAATTGCATCTAACAGGTTTTAGAATCCTGTAATTGTTCCATGAGAAGGAAAACTGTACAATTGAAAGAGATAGAGGATGCACCACATTTGAGATCAAGGTCTCCAAGCCAGTTGGAATTCACAGGAAATTTTAGAAGAATGATGCTACACAACTGACTTCTAATAACAGGAGTGACCATTGACAACAATGAATATAACTTCTTTCCACCTCTTATTAACATTCCATGACATGTCCCACAGGAAGCTTAATTGCGAGCCTTCGCACTCCCAAGTGTGAGCTCCAAATCATCCACCCCAATCTCATGTATTCTCTCACCCTCCCATGCCTTCACTGTGTTAGTCTCGAACTCAAATTCGGAGCCACGCCCCATCTGTGCCACTGCTCCACACCCATCAACTGCAACCTGGTGGGAACTAAGTTGGGCCACATTTTTCACAAGATTAAATGTAGGGGAAGAGGGGACTGCTGGAGGTGCCCCTGTTTGGAAACTCACCCACCGAGCTGAATCAACCGTGGAGACATCAGATTCATCGCATTCCGGAATTGTGGCTGGTTTAGGATGGTGGCAGCGGGTTGGACTCGCTGGGGCAGAAGCAGCGAAAAGGGGATGGCAAAAAGAGTGCAATGAGCCATTGGAGAGCGATTCCCAAACGGGTTTTGGCTTTGCACCTCTGGAATTTGGGGAAGAAAGAGGTGGGGTTACAGGGGCACTGTTGGATATTCGAAGAGGGGGGAGAGAAGAGGGAATGGAGGCTAAGTTGCAGAGGAAAGGGAGAATGTAGGAGGAGGGGTTTCCATCAAAACGAGAGGGGCTCGGGAAGGAGGATGACGATGGGCTGGCATGGTAGGAAGGTATAGGACTTGGGAAGGATGAGGATGTTGGGCTTGGTTGGACTGATGAACATGCACTCATGTTTGTAATATTGCCTGCCATCCCATTTGAAGGTGGCCTGCATCCCTGTTTCAGAAGATCGAAACAGAAGTTTAGACCTAAATCATGAACACAATGCTAAATAAAATCATATTTTTCCTGTTTGTCTAATATGATTTTGGTGGAAATGTGACTCTAGGACTATCGGATTTGACGAAGATGAAAGGTTATCTTTGTTGAAGTTTCAGCCATTATTGAGGCAAGAAAGGTATGATTGATATTATAATAATATATGGAAATGAATTTAAGACTGAAGCTTTGCACAATCCAAATCAAATCTTAATCTACAGATGAATAATAGAGAGATAAAGATTAATACAATTTCAGATCACATATGGATTATGGAGAAAAAATCTAAGTTTAGATCTAAAGAAAAAGCACAAAACTATACAAAATATGACACCAGAATACAGATTAGAGTTGCTTAAGTATTTTGCATGATTGAGCAAGAAGCATGCTTTATGAACTTTGAAAGATCCAACTTTTACCCCTTTTGATCTCCATTGATTTTCCATATCAAAACCCAGAAAGCTTTTTAATCAAACAGTAAGAAAATAATATATTTTCTTGATACAGTCAATCAAGAAATAAGAACTTTGACTACAATTATAGCAATAAAACTAAAAAGAATTTTTTTTCCCAAAAGCAAAAAATTAGGAAGATGAATGGAAGGAGAAAATAAAAAAAATTCCAACATCAAAACAATATATTCTTCTGATTAAAGCGCAAAACAGAACATCACAAGAAAAACAGATCTAGGAAGAGACCCAAAAAAGAAAATGATATGATCCGATTATGAGTTCATATACATATATATATAAGAAAATGGAATTAAGCGAGCGTACCTTGCGATAAGTGGTGCCATCTTCTTCGACGACCCAACCAGCTTCAGCGCAAAGAGCCTTCAAGACCTCGTTGTTGTCGCAGTGCTTGGGAAGCCTGTAATTACCCTGGGCTCTGAGGCCTGAGTATATCTTTGCAGCTATAGCTCTCCTCCTCCTCTCTCTCCTCTTGTTGTTCTCTCTCTCCTTCCATGTCGGTAACCGCCCCGTCGATGATCCGCCGGCCGTCATTCTTCCAACGCCGGCTACCGGACCCTTCTCTCTCTCTCTCTCTCTCTATATATATATATTATATTGGCAGCAGAGGCGGATAGAGGAGAGCAGGTATTGCGCTGGACAGAGTGTTCACGAGGACAACGCCTTTGTTTATTGGGAGTGTATTGGAATCGTAGAAGAAATGGGAAGTAGGAGTACTAGTAGTAGTATAGATTCTCCTGTGCCCCTCTCTCTCTCTCTCTTCATGCGGAGTGACAGAAAGTTACTACAATCAGTAGTAGGGGTAATTTCGTCATTTCAAACTCATAATTTACAATTTTTAGACTTGTTCTTGAACATAAACTTCATTAGACTTGATAAGATTTTAATATATATTCTTACATCTATCTATGCCAGGACGGATGGGTTTTAGATATAGATACTTGTGGCATATTTGTGAATATGTGTTTGATAATTTTAAAATATATTTATAATTTGTCACACATATTTAATACTTGTCAACTACTTCATATGCTATCTCATAATTTTGAAATATTTAATAGTACATTTTAAACTTAATATTAAGGCTGTGTTTAGTAACTGGAAACGTTTTATGTTTTTTATTGTCAGCCCCTAAAAAGGTAAAACAAAAACAAAAAACTTGTTTAATAATATGTTTTTGTTTTTTTGTAATAGAAAACATTTTCTATTTTTGTGAAGAAAGGAGGAAATATAAAAAATGTGTTTATCATGTTTTCGATACTTTTAAGTAAAATCGTTTTCACTATTCTTATTATATATGCACTGTTCATTTTAAATAAAATGTAAGTTAAATAAAATGTATGTTATTCATGTTGAATACTAATGATGCATATTAAATACTAATAAAAATTAAATATATAATAATATTTATATTATATATTAGTGTGAATTATTTTTATTTAACAAAAATATATTTTTAAAATATAATATATTATATAATAGTGTAAATTATTTTTTGGGAGAAAAAAATTATGATTTATTATATATTTGTTATTTATTTTATATAATATTATTAAATTATTATGCAAAAGATATAATATATTAATATATACCATATCTATATTATATTATATTATAGTTATATTGAATTTTTTATTTATTATAATATAATATATGTTAAATATATTATATATTTTATAATAAATGCATAGATGATACATATGCATGCACTTATATACATAATTGGTGAGAATATTTTTGTCCTAATATATCTTATTTTGTACTTATGTATTAGGTATTATTAGGATTTATGATTTTAAATTGAATATTATATTTTATTATCCTGTATTGGATATTTTTAATATTTGTGAAATAATTTAATTTCATACATATTTAAGGTTTTTTTTGTACTAATGAAAAAAATTAAAATTAAAATAGAATAATTAAAAATGTTATGTAAATTTGTAACAAATATGTATTATTAAACACTATTATTATTTTCTGCTTTCAAAATTGTGACAACAAGTGTTAATAAACGTTATTTTTGTTTTTTTAATTATATTTATGTTTTCTTTTGACTGCAAAAATATAAAACGAAAACGTTACTAAAAGCAAAATGTAACTTTTTTAACAACAATGACATGGTATAATTGTTTAAAAAATAAATTTTCACTAAACGCAAAATGTAACTTTTTTAACAACAATGACATGGTATAATTGTTTAAAAAATAAATTTTCAAAATTTATTAAGTGATGAATGGAATGTTTGTTTTATGTGTTGTAAAACGAAATTACATTGCCCGTTTGGCATGTGTTATAATAATGTTTTTATGATATTAATATTCAAATTTTTGGCCCATATTATGCTTAGGACGGTTGATATTGGTTTGAAATAATTCACAACATATCAGATTTTTTGGCCAAAACTCAAATCACTAAATTGATGATATTGTATGTTTTGATATTATAACGGAGGATTAAAACAAATTTTAGAATTTCTCAAAACATATTTTTGTTATCAAATATGGTTCCGATTTCTACCTAAAACACTTCTACAACAAAACAAGTATTGACCAAAAAAATAATACCTAAAACACATCCCATGCCAATCAATATATATATATATATATATATCTAATGATTGCATTTAGATTTATAATATTACAAAAAATTGATAAAAAAAAATATTTTTTATATATATAAATATATTTATTACAGTTTTTTATTTTCTTATACCCTTATATTTTTAAAATTTACTGTATCACCCCTATCCATTTTCATACTCCCTACTAGGCTACTACTCTGCTGGATCTATGTAATTAGGTGTCTCAGATGGGCTTGAGTACTTGAATAGTTGGTTTGAATTTGGAATAAAGTATCACAACTCTCGTAACTCCATTATTGTTCAGACAATATTTCTCAAGGTCCTGAAATAAATGAACTGAAACTTGTGTCATATAGCTCATTAAACTTTTAATGAACAAATGTGCACGAATATAGTCATTAAAATTGTGAACACGACGACTTTATTTGACTTTAATTTTTGCTTGTAATACTTCTTCATCAACTTCTTTAAGCCAACTTTCAAATGTGAAATCCTTTAAAAAGTTTCACATGCGTAAAAAAAATTATAAAAGTGCGAAATTTTAATTAAAATAAGATAGTAACGTTGAAAATACAAAAAATAAAATCTGATCTTAGTGCTTTATTAAGAGCACAATCCAATTTGTATAAAAAATAAATTAAAATAAATCTTCACACAACTTAGTCACAAAAATCAAAATTCAACTTCATATCAAAGTAAATGCAATCGACTTATATTTTGATCTACAAAATTATCAATTAAAGTGCTTCAATCAAGTTTCTTCATAATTAGGATGGCCAATATAAACTAGTTTCATAGTTTAAATTTAATTTTTTTTTTTTTCTTTTGAAGAAAGGGAATAGAAACATATTATTGTTTAACATATATAAATTGATATTATAATTTATAAGTACGTATGATTATTGTCATAAATTTTTTTTTTTTTTTGAAACTTATTTATTATCATAAATTTTTTTGTATACTTTCCCAGTTCTGTTGCTACAGCGGGCTTTACGCAATCGATCGAATTATATAGATATCCCTTCAACACAACATAGGTCATCGAAAAGATCTCGGAGACCCACCAAAGCACAAATGCTAGGATCTTTTAGAAAATGGATTCCTAGTGCATAACCACATGGGTAAGCTCACATTAACTCGTCAATTTGGAATTCAATTCGAGATTTTCCTTGAATGTAGCGGGAAGAAATATGTATTGTCTTTTAATTGTAGAAATTATAGATTGAATGTCAGACATACCACTGTGATCCTATATTTGAGACCCTTCCAAAACTGCCTTGGTCACCTTGCCCCATAGCCGGAATCAAGAGTGACTAAAAAAAAAGTTATTTTTATATATCGTGTCCACAATTGATGATGTCATCAATGGGGACATCCTTGGTTGGCGTAGGGAGGAAGATTACATTATGTGGCTTGTTTTAGAAGCCTTATTTTGAGCCTATAAAAGGCCATGTATCTACTACTTTGGAACACACTTGAACAAGCATAAATGAAAGCTGTTTCATTTTCTCTCTCTTATATTTTCTCTCTGAATGCTCTTTTACTTTCTCACTTGATATTACTCTATACACACACACACACACACACACACACACATATATTTATAACACGTTATCAGCACAAGCTCTATCCATCTGAGATTTGAAGGAAAAGCTTTCTTTCCCTCTTTCTATCTCAACTATATATCCCTTTTGTGATATTAGTTTTAATAAATTGTTGGGTTTGTTTACTTCATCGAAAAAAATTGTATTTTTTACTCCAAAGGGTAAGAAAATTTTAATTATTGATTATTATTCATAAAATAAATGTGTTCACTTAAATGATATATGTACTCACACTATGGTCGGTTTTACCGCCTTTATTATTTAATGATTTATGACCAGTTTTACCTTCTTTATTGTTTAATAATTTATTCAATATGGTTGGTTTTACCTCCTTTGTTATTTAAATAGTTCATATTATGTTATTATTTCACTTAATGCCATTTTATTTATATACTATGCTAAATTGTATTTTTATATTGTTGTCACATCTAGTTATTCTGAAAATGTCAAACTTGACAAAGCTAGAATTCGTGGCCTTAGACATTTCTGGCAAAAATTATTTATCTTGGATTCTGGATGCTCGGATCCATTTAGATGCCATGGGCTTCGGAAACACAATTAAAGAAGATAATGATGCATCATTACAAGATAAAATGAAGGCCATGATTTTCCTTTGGCGCCATATTAGTGAGGAGCTAAAAACTAAATACCTCACTGAAAGAGATCCACTATGTTTGTGGAAAAAATTTGAAAGAAAGACATGATCATCAAAAAACAGTTATCTTCCCAAATGCTTGAGTTGATTGGCAACAACTGCGGTTGCAATATTTTAAAATTGTGGCTGAATATAACTCTGCCCTATTTAAAATCAACTTTACATTGAAATTGTGTGGTGATACTATCACTGATGAACTTTTGTTGGAAAAAACATTCACCACAGTTCACGCCTCGAATGTACTCTTACAACAACAATATCGAGAGTGTAGATTTGAAAAATATTCAAAACTGATATCATGTTTACTTGTGGCAGAGCAAAATAACGAGCTTTTGTTAAGAAACCATTAGTCTCATCTAACTGGATCAACACCAATCCCTGAAACATATGTTGCCTCATCCCGTGGTCGTGGTCGTGGTCGTGGTCGTGGTCGTGGACGTGGACGTGGACGTGATCGTGATCGTGGTGGTAGAAATGTCTATAATAATGAATACAACCATTGTAAAAATAACTACCATAATAATGAATATGGTCGGGGTAGAAATCACTCCTATTACCGTGAAGGATATCAATTCTCAAAATTTAACAATCAGAGATCCACACCATATCCTCAAAAGAAAGATTATAATGAAAGAAAACAAGTAGAAGGAAAGAATGTGGCTCAACCTCCCAAGGCACATAATAATACTTGTTATCGGTGTAGAATAACAGGGCATTGGCAAAGCATTTGTCGTACACTTAAGCATTTGGCTGAACTTTACCAAGTCTCAATGAAAGAAAAGGGAAAACAAAAAGAAATAAATTTCATTGATCATGATGAGCTAGTTGACATCACAAATCTGGATGTATTAGATTTTTTTGTGGACCG